GCTTCAGATCTAGATCTGGGTACAACCATTTATTGTTCTGTCCTGACCCTTCCGAGCCAGCCTCTGGATGCTTCCAGACAACCTGCTTTATTGAGCATTTATTCTGATTTGTTTTCAGGGAGATGAGACAATAGTGGCTAATTAATGAGTTTTCATTCTGATTTGTTTTCGAGGTTCAATGTTATCGCACACTTTCCAGTGCATTTCCTGCTCACATTCCTTATTGCAAAAAGACTGATCTTTTGGAGAAGTGGATTTGTTGCACAAGCCCTTCCAATCAACTATAATTGTGCAACCTGAATTTGCTGGTGTGTGACTGAATCCTACCCAGAAATAGTGACAGTCTGAAAGCTTCCTCTGTCTCGTATTCTCACTCTCCCACCCATACCTTGTTGCCTGCCCATCTCTTATATTTGCTTCAAGGATGCGACTTTTTTTTTTTAAAAAAAACTGCTCTAGGAAACCTGGGAGTGCTGAGCAGTAAGCATGCCCACGGTGCTGTCTTGAATGTTATGCCCCCCTCCACTAGAGTTGGGAAAGTTAGGGCCCAGAAGATGCATATTCGAGATAAAATTTACTGCTGCTACAGTCTTCTACCTGCAGTGCCTTTACCCCGCCTCATAATTAGGACAGTCTTGCTGCAAACTCATGAAAATAACTCCTGCCACACCTGAACTGCTAGATCAAAGGAAGGCAGCTGGCAAGTTGGGCTCCTTTGCGAGTTAATTATACTGTGTGTGTGTGTGTGTGTGTGTGTGTGTGTGTGTGATGTGCTAAATCTGGGTGCCAGATAGCTAGACACCAAAGGTCATGCACTTTCCCCTTTCTATTAACATGGCTAAAGCCTTTAAGGGCTACTGATGCATTGCTTTTCTGCAATTTGCTGGTAGTGGTTAAGAGCGGTGGACTCGTAATCTGGTGAACCGGGTTCGCTTCCCCGCTCCTCCACATGCAGCTGCTGGGTGACCTTGGGCTAGTCACACTTCTTTGAAGTCTCTCAGCCTCACTCACCTCACAGAGTGTTTGTTGTGGGGGAGGAAGGGAAAGGAGAATGTTAGTCGCTTTGAGACTCCTTCGGGTAGTGATAAACCAGGATATCAAATCCAAACTCCTCTTCTTCTAAATTAAAATGGTGGTTTGGTACAAGCATTTTATACGGCATTATATTATATGGCAGTGTCCATCCCAATGGCCAATATCCATCTAAAAGGTTTACTAAGAATAATAGAATCATAGATTTGGAAGGGACTCTGAGGATCATCTAGTCCAAACCCCTGCTGTGCAGTAAAATGCAGCTGCCCAAATAAATTTAATTCAGCAAAAAAAATCCTGCAACAAATGCGGGCCACTGGATTTGTGAGTCCTTGCAGAGAGTCCCCAAGTCCAGCAAGATGGATGGTAAGTGGCCACGTATGTCTTGAAACCACAACACTAGAGTTCCTTGGAAGATTCAGGAAGCGGCCGTAGAAGGAAAAGATTTCACACAACAGGTTCTACCTGCCTTGGAGTTAGTTAGGTGTTGTTGTTTTTCCTTTGCTGGGGGTGCAGTTTGCTTCCTGGTGCTGGTTAAAAAAGAAAAAAACTCAATAAAAATGCTTCCAGATTCCCAGATAGTTTTACATTTTTGTTTCACCACCACTAGGATTAAAGGTCAGATTTGGGTTTGGCCGTTTCTCATTTTCCTGGTTAGATTATCTCTACAGAACAGGTCATGCTGCTTTCTTTGTCCCTATAGCATTGGCAAGGAATCAGTGCTTTAGGTCTGTGAGTTTCAGACTTCATTTGGGGAAGCCTTAAGGATATGGGTGGCGCTGTGGGTTAAACCACAGTGCCTAGGACTTGCCGATCAGAAGTTTGGCAGTTCAAATCCCCGCGACGGGGTGAGCTCCCGTTGCTCGGTCCCTGCTCCTGCCAACCTAGCAGTTCAAAAGCACATCAAAGTGCAAGTAGATAAATAGGTACCGCTCCGGCGGGAAGGTAAACGGCGTTTCCGTGCGCTGCTCTGGTTTGCCAGAAGCGGCTTAGTCATGCTGGCCACATGACCCGGAAGCTGTACGCCGGCTCCCTTGGCCAATAAAGCGAGATGAGCGCTGCAACCCCAGAGTCGGTCATAACTGGACCTAATGGTCAGGGGTCCCTTTACCTTTACTTAAGGACATAAGGAGAGGCTTGATGGATCAGACTAAAGATCCAGCCAACTGGGCATCTATCTTCCCTCAGCAGTCAGTGGATGCCTATGAGAAGCCCACAAATAGGACAAATCCTCCTGTTGTTCCAGCAATCAGTATTCTCTGGCATGCTGCCTATAATCCTGGATGTTGTGTATATAACTATCATGGAGCCCATCTCCACCATCTCAGAAAAACCAGTTATCATTGCAGCCATCCATCAACTTCATTGTGGAGGAACTTATACACCATCTGCCCTAGAGAGTTGCAAATAATTCTGGGACATGTACAGCCACTCCACTTTATGATTTGCAAATTGCTGCTGCTAATTAGTTACTTAACAATGTCTGTACTTTTCTGCATTTCCTTTCCCTCAGTCTAACCTCACAATCCCCTCCCCTTTCCCCAGCCATGTGTATAAGTACTAGGATAAGGAAACTGTTGAAATGTAAATGTGAAATATTCTGGGACCAAGAGGGCCTGGACTGGAGTTCAGTGTCATTTATCTGTGGGGGAAGACAAAAACTAGTATAATGGCATATTATTACTTAAGGTGTGTAAATGACAACCATCCTTGCCCCTTGCTTTTTTTGCAGGCTGGTTCAAAGGAAACAAGTCAACTCTCAACTTATGCAGGGGTTACGTTCTGGGAATAGCGCATAAAACCAAAATTGCATATAGTCAAAACACTCTTTCAACCTGAACTTTCTAATGCTCTCCCAAGGGCACTGAACACTCTCCCTGCACCTGTAGGATTGCCGACAGAAAATACATCTATAAATAAAAAAACCAATCTAAACCAGAGTAATGATCAGAAAACAAACAGATTGTAGGAGTGCATTTATAAATAAATAAATAAAATTAAACCTGAGCAATAATCCCAAAGTAAACAGCCTGTACAAACACCTTGTTTTAAATGGCAAAAACTGCTGTAACAAATAACTCGGACAGAAAAACAATAAATAGAAAGAATCCAGTTTTGACAGGTGGCATAATGATGCAAATAACCGCAACTAGAAAAACAAATGAAGAATAACATAGGCAGCTGATTACTTTAGATGATTTTCTCAGCAACACAGATTTAATTTAACAAAATTGCATCTGATTTTTGCAGCTGCCACCACAAACAGACCCAATTTGAACATTATCGTTTGCCATTTAGTAAAAGCTCAGGACTGTGGTGGTTGTTTGAGCAGAAGATCTATAAGCAATTCTTTCCAAAGAGAGTAAACTGGTATGCAGTGTTGACAATTATCCACCTCCTTGGAGCCACAAACAGAGAGTATCGTGTTCTTTCTACTAGGATCGGGCCATTGTTTCCTCATGCCAGTGAGTAACCCCAAATGTGAAGAAGTTTTGTTTTTTTCCAACACCAGGAACATTGGCAGAAAAGCCAGCTTCCCATTCAAGTTATTCACGGCTTGGGCTCAGATGGGCTCTTGCAAATTGCTGTAATTTTTCGCAGTTTATTGCAGAATGCTATCTGCTGTATCCTGGGATGGGCAAACACAGCCAGAACCCAAGCAAGAAGCTTGGTGGCCTCCCTCTGAGAAAGGACCCTGTGTGTAGAAGGGATAGATGGGAGGGAGGTAGAAGAGAGATGAAGCCCAAATATATTCAAAACACAGGCGTGAGTGTGAGATAGAGAGAAATTTTAAAGGATGATCCATTTGATTAACAAATTATGTAGTAGGACATCTCCCTGGGCCTACAGAACGGTTGAGAAGGGAAGTGGGGAGGCCCCATGAGAGACTAGAATGCTGGTAATGTTGCAATTGCATGGGACGCGGGTGGCGCTGTGGGTTAAAGCCTCAGTGCCTAGGACTTGCTGATCGAAAGGTCGGCGGTTTGAATCCCCGTGGCGGGGTGCGCTCCCGTCGTTCGGTCCCAGCGCCTGCCAACCTAGCAGTTCGAAAGCACCCTCGGGTGCAAGTAGATAAATAGGGACCGCTTACTAGCGGGAAGGCAAACGGCGTTCCGTGTGCTGCGCTGGCTCGCCAGATGCAGCTTGTCACGCTGGCCACGTGACCCGGAAGTGTCTGCGGACAGCGCTGGCTCCCGGCCTCTAGAGTGAGATGAGCGCACAACCCTAGAGTCTGGCAAGACTGGCCCGTACGGGCAGGGGTACCTTTACCTTAATGTTGCAATTGCCTTTGCAAAAGTCTCTGCAAAAGTTGTTTATAACAGTAACACATTATCCCTATCTGTACATATAAGTGATATATTAGCGCAAGACGCTTGCTTTGCTACTGTTCATCCCTTTCTTCTACGTAGAAACAAAGTCTGGCTAGATGTGCACTCCAGCACAGCAGCGCATAGGAAGTAGCTGCCTTAAACTAAGCCAGACCATTGCTCATTCTAGCTAGACAGCTACACTGACTGGCAGCAGCAATCCAGGATTTCAGTCGGGGTGGACCCCCAGCCCTACCTGCAGGCCAGCAATTGAATCTGGAATCTTCTGCATCAATATCATCATCATAATTTTATTCTTTATATGCCACCCATCTGACAGGATTGCCCCAGCCACTCTAAGCGGCTCCCAACAAAATGTTAAAAAGACAATAAAGCATCAAACATTAAAAACGTCCCTATACAGGGCTGCTTCAGATGTCTTCTAAAAGCCATATGGTTGTTTATTTCCTTGACATCTGATGGGAGGGGGTTCTGCAGGGCAGGCGCCACTACTGAGAAGGCCCTCTGCCTGGTTCCCTGTAACCTCACTTCTTGCAGTGAGGGAACTGTCAGAAGGCCCTCAGAGTTCGACCTCCAAGCAAAGCAGATGCTTTGGCATTAAGTTATGGCCTGTTCACAGTCTCCAAAGAGGTTTAAAATTCCCAAACTGGTGGAGCATCGGAGTGAGGTCGATTTACTGCCCTTTCACAATTTATAATGAAATGGTAGATGAGCACAACCACCAAATCGTTGACTGGGAGAAAACACAACATCTACAGAATTAAGGATATGTAAATTAAATTTTAAAAATTTCCAAAACTGTATGGGTGCTTGGACAAAGGGGAAGTTATATCACTCACAATGAATGACATCACAGAAAGCAGCCAACTGGTGCTCTTGAGAAGCGGTCAATCACCTTTATGCAGCCTTGAGGGATACAGTGCATACAGGTGCAACAAATGGGAACTAAATGCGTATTACCACCCACACTCCAAAGCAATGTTTGTGCATAAATGTCCTGTGTCTGGAGACATGGCTCCAAGTGTGATCTGATCATGCAGATATCCCAAGAACCAAGGAGAAAATAGGGGGTGTCGCCTACACCCCTAGTCATGCAAATGAAGGGGACAACCAGAGCTCACCTCTCTCCCACCCCACCCCTGCTTGGTATGCAATTGTCTCATTAATTAAAATTCTCCGCAGGCTGCATTGTTTGCTTACAGGGGAGGGCGATTCCTCTAAGCTACCTTGGCAGCCAGACTCCTAACAGGTGCTTTGCAAATAATCAATCCCTGGGCTTCCGGGATCGGTGAGCTGCTTCTACTCTCCACCTGGCAACAAGCGCAGGAAGGGCAGCTGCTGAAGACAACTCCAAAAGTCGGTTTGGACAGAAAGAGAGTGTGTTGGGCATTCCATGGCTTCCCTCTGAGCACAGTCCTGGATACAGCATCTCATGAGGAAGAGCAATAAACAGGGGACTTAAAAGAGGATATACACCCGGAACTCCTAAGCAAGCAGGTATGCGGTGTGAAAAAGGAAGAATGAACTGGATAGTTTAGCGAGGTCTCCTAGAAGGGTGGGCGGAGAGCATGAGGTTTTTGCTTGTTACTCCTTCGCAAAGGAGCTGGTGTCTGCTGTGTTGGTAAAGGCGAAAAACAACAACACCTAAGTAACTTGCGGGAGCAGCTATTAAGTTAGGGCTCATGTGTTTTTGGAGAAGGGAGATTTGAGTCCTACAGAGTTAAGGAGAGGAAGGAAGGATGGAAGAAGACAGGCTGCTGGAGAGGGAAAATTATGTGATCCTGTTGTAAAATAGGTAGGGGACCCTGTACCTTTAATAGCTATGTCAAAGGCAGAAGTTGTGTTGCTGGCCTTCTCTGCAATTGTAAAAGGCATCTATGCTACAACTTCTTATAATCCGTCACCCTGGGGGGGGGGCGTTTTATAGAACCACAGCTCCCCCCTCCCTTTCTTTCCCCCATTTGCTTGGGTGGCTCTTGTGCTTTTAAAGCTGGCAGAAATTCAACAGGTTGGGCAAACTTTCCCTATCGCTGCATCAGTTCCTGCCACAGACATTTAGAGACAGATGACGAGAAAACTCCTGACTGAAAAGTGCGGTGTCTCTAAAGCGGGTGGACATAGTCCAGGATTTTCTCTGGAAATGAATGGGTGGAATGGGAACATGACTCCAAGATGGTTTGATGGCCTTACGATTTTATTTTTTTAAATCATCCTGACTTACAGCTCCTTAATTAATATTTATTTTATCATTACTTTCATGTCACAACTTTCCTCCAAGGAGCTAAAAAGTGGTGTGCCAAGTTCTCCCCAACCTAATTTCACCCTCCCAACAACCCTGTGAGGGAGGTTAAGCTGAGAGATGGTGGCTGGCCCCATGTCACCCAGTGAGTTTCATGGCTGAGTGGGCATTTGAACCCTGGCCTTCCAGATCTCAGCCCAGCACTCAAACCCCTGCACTGTATGTTACACCCTCCTCTCTTTGTAGAGGACCCAAGAGTCTCTGCTTCCTTTGGTTTCTATATAGCCCTCTAACTCACCATAAAGGTGGGGTTCTAAATAAACAAGGTAATATAATCTTATCTGCAATTTCCTGTGTGGCACCTAACGTACCTGGCAGGCTTGGGTTGGACAGGCAGTGAAACAGGAGTGGCTGTTTTCTCAAGGAAGTCCACCACAGTCTTGTAAAGTACTGTTTCCTTCACTCTTCTGGAGAAACACGAGCAGAACAATCTCATTATACTATTCCTCCACTCTTCTTGTATGCTTTAGGAACTGTGGCCGTACAAAGGGATGCCCCCCGATTCAACCGAGGAGATGCACCTGCAGCTGTGAAAGGACGCCCTTCTTTAAACTGGTGGCTTCCTCCTCACCTCCCTGGGAAAGCAATTTCCACCCACTGCATAACAGGAAAATCAGCCTGCAGAAGATATGTTCAGTTGTGACCCTGTCACACATCTGAATGGCTGAGATCTAAGAAGCTGAGCAGGTAAAAAGAGGACATGTGCTCCTGTTCATTGGATGAAAATCCCAGTGCTTAATTTTGAAAGCTGATTGGCTAAGAAGAATCAGCAACCTTAAACTCTTCCTTGGATAAAAGGAGGAAAGATTTCATAATGCTAATTCACCAGCCAGCAGGGATGCACTGTTCATCCTCATAGGCTAAGAACAAAATATTATTTCACTGGTTGATTGGCTGGAGAGTCTGGCCGGCATGGGATTTTAATTTCTTCTTCATTCATTGGGTCTGCTTAAGGCACTTGTTCCAGGAACTGACAGACTGCCATTGGCCAAGAACTGTGGGAATTTCCACCTTTGGGGTGACCTAGACCCTCAAAGCTGACACATTATTTGCTTTAGCCAAGTACTTCCCACTGCTCAATCACTTAAGGAAAGTAATAAAGCCAGAGACATTTCCCAGTTGTTTATTCACAGAAAATAGCAATCATCCTAGCAGATAACGGGGCAGAATATTCTCATTGCCTAGGTGAGGATAACTTCTGACGTCTGGCCCGTAACAGAAGACGACACTTCTCACCAGAAACAACTGGACCTAGGAAAGTTGGAACTCTTTGATTAATCACTTTGAGATGCTTCTACTCTCTCACACAGCCATTTTCTGCAAGTGTGGGAAAGTGTCTGCAAGTGGAAGGACGAGTAGTGGTTTCTCCAAATGAACTTCTGGGAAGAAGGTTTCGGCTTTGTGAATGTGTAGGAGGTGTATTTCCTTTTTGTAAAAAAATAATTGTCTGAAGCTGCAAAAAAGAGGATTGCACAGACTGGCAGAAGACGTCAGAGAAAGAACTACTGTTCTCGAGATGTGCCTTGAAAGGTTACCTGGCAAGACAAGATAATATTATGCCGGTTGATGCACTGTTCCACAAACTCAACAAGAGAACCTAGGAGATTTATGCTCTTGGGTGCTGTTTTTAAAGCCCAATAGGCTCAACCCCCAACCAGAGAGCCCAGCTTGTATTATTCTCACTGTTCTAACCTTCTAGACCTCCCTGCCCACCCAAGTGTCACACAGCTTGCTGGTTCCCTTTAGTCTTTGCCTACTAAGCAAGAGTTTCCTCCTGCTATACATTCTGCTAATCTCGTCATCCCCCATAAAGATTGCAGAGTCCAGTTGCATGCAAGAGAGCTGACAGCCCAACTAGAGATTTGTTCCACAGGCTCTTAGTTTCAAATGAATTTCCCATAATTTCCACCAGTGGGAACGAAGACAATTCACAAACTGAAGTGGGTGACAGCTCAAGTAGGTTTCTTTTGTTTGTAGAGGTGGCACAACCTTGAATTATGATTCAAGAGGATGCTAGAGTAACAGGCAAACAGTTGTGTGGCCACCAGCTCTAGCACTGGTTAGTACAACTGGTACTTTGGGCATTTGTTTTGCATTTTACGGCTGTTCCCCATCCACCCCCGGACACATTTTTTGAGCAGTGATTACCAGGATAACTACCGTTACTCATACCTTTGGATGTAGATCATATTGTGTTTAGGGTTAAAAGGGTTTTAGAATCAAATTATACTCTTCGTGAGGCTGAGATTTGGAATCTAGGGGCGCCAACTCTATTTTGACACGTACCATGAAAACAGGTTGCCTATATGATAGTTCCCATGAATGTAAATAGAGAGCAGGTGATAAGGAGTTATGGATGTGGTAAACTGAAATGCAGTGTCAACGTTAGGCTTATCTGGACAAGGGGTGGAAGGAGGTCGTGAGTCCCGGTATCCAGCATTAGAATAATCCAGTGTACCATCAGGGTTTAGAAAGTGAAACTAAGGCAGTTAGGCCACCTGAAAACGGTGAAAGTTATGGTTGAACTAGCCACTGGGGCTGTCCCATGAACAATGATCATTCTTTATCTCTATGCCCTGAACAGCTTCAGAGGCTAAAATCCACACACAGAAGTTCTGTTAAAGAGGCAGGAGCAGGGCACGCTGTTTCTTTTTCGACATGACAGAAGAATTTTAGGTCAAGGATGCAAGATTATATGGCTGCTTACCCAGAGGGTTTGGAAAGGCCCACTCTGGTTACAGGGTAGAGTTGTGGGTACCGTATAATTTAATGCCCTTTCCCCAAAGGCCATGGCAGGTTCCCAGGTCCTCTGCTTGGAGAGCGAAGAGCCGTATGCTAAAGTAACGGAATCGAACCCTGAATTTTATTATTGTGAGGGTCAGCGGGTAGCCCTCGAAGCGCTGCTCGCTAAAGGCGAAGAGGCGTTTAAGGAGTGCGTCTCCCAGGAAAAGCTGCGCCCCTTTCTGTCAGATGGAGAGCTGCAGGAACTGAAGGCAGCTGTAGAAGACTCGCGGGCTCCCTCGCCAGGTGGAATTGGCAATGGTGGCCACGGGGGCAAGGGATCAAGCCTCAGCTACTGGCCTGGACGTTCGGACGAGCCTACCCCAGAGCTGGAGCTAGGGTGGCCGGAGAACAGCGTTTGGAAAGGGATTACCCGTGTGGAGGTCTATACCCACCCACCAGGAGAGGGAGCGCCCCACATCAAGGAGCTGGTGCGAAGATACATCCAGCAAGCCAACAAGGTACTGAGGACAGGTAGCAGCATCCTTCTAGATGTTGTGGATGTGGAGGAGGATAGCCACATTAGCCAAAGGTGCATTTCTAAAACATACATTTCCACATAATTACTTCACAACAACCCCCGCTCGCTTTCTTTTTTTAATCTCTCATCTCTCTCAAAACTGCCCCTCCCCTCTATTGCGAGTGTGATTTGTGATCCACAATAAAAAAGGATCAAAAACAATGGCACAAATAGTATTGATTCTCAGTGTGCTTCAAGGAAGCTCTATCTTCGGGAAATTAAATTAAAACACCACCACTTGGGAGAACTTTTCTGCTGCAGCTCAACTGAGCAGATGCAGACTGTGATCCTATAATCACTAACCTGGGAGTAAGCAGCACTGAACTTGGTAGAGTTACTTTCCAAACTGACACATACAGGATTTTGCTCTAAATTCCGCTCCACTCCACCTCTAGAGAGTTTCCTCAAAATATGTTGAGAGCCATTTTTGTCTGTGCAGGGTTTTATTTATTTATTGTCTTCATTCCTATGTTTGTGTTCCCCCTTCACAAAATGGAGGGAAATTCAGAGCATTTTTACCCTAATCAATTTCCTTGGAAGTGAGAGGATGGGAGATTTATGGTGCTCTGTATTGGTGTATTTACAGATTTACAAGTTCAGCAAGTAGGACAGAGGTCAGAAGCAAACATGCAGTCCATCTTAGTATTATAATCACGTCTAAGTATTTATTTCCAGCTGCACACACACATACGGCATCAACTTCAGTACCAACATACTACTACCCAAATTAAGAAATCTCATTAAATTAAATACAAAAATCAAATCTATACAAGGTTAAAATGGCAGTTTAGTGAAAGAAATTGTATTTTGGTTTTTAGATTCAAGATGGGGAACCTGCAGATGGACCACAACTCCCATCAGCCCTGGTCATTAGCCATGTTGGCTTGGGCTGATGGACGCTGAAGTCAAAAAACACCTGAAGGGCCAGATTCCCCAACACTGCTTTAGACAATGCACATATATGTTACAGCAGGCACCATCTTAAAAGAGGTATTCTCTCCTGTGTGAGAGTGAAGAGGGGAATGCTTTTTAATATATGAATCTGATCGATCAGTCACTTAAGGGGTTGCAACACCAGTACAAATGGACGCAACTGGCATTCCAGATGCTTGAATTAACCATTTTATTTGTAAGCCCGCCTTGGAAAGAAATCTCAAATTTCCTTCTTCAGTAAGCAACCAGAAGGGAGGCTCACGAGGGAGGGGGAAGACTCAGAACAAAAGCTAGCGATATATTTGCTCATTCAACAGTAAGGATGCATATCGAGTCACTGTGCATACAATGCACACACCTGACTTGGCTCTCATCACTGTTGATTTGGGGATATTTAATTCTGAAAGCAAAATTGCATGACTTCTGTCTAGTTATATATCCCACAAGCCAAACTGTTTGTCCTCCAGGTGATTGCCATTGTCATGGATGTTTTCACGGACCCCGACATCCTCTTAGATCTGTATGATGCAGCACTCAGGCGCCGAGTCCCCGTCTACATCATTCTCAGCAGAGAGCATCTTGCCTCCTTCCTCACCATGGCTGAGAAAACATGCCTTAATGTCCGTCACACAGAGGTGAGATGGGGAGGGCTTTGGTTCTGTGCAGGTCTCTCCACCCCCAGAGGCAGAGGCAGCTGCATCTCAGTTGACTCTCACCTCCTGTGATTTCCCAAAAACAAGGAATCACTAGCAGACTTTGCTAAAATAATAGGGGCAAAGGTTGGCTTGTGGTGCCTTTGGAATGAGGTCCCCAAGGAACTGCATCAGAAGGGACACTGTCATTATTATTATTATTATTATTATTATTATTATTATTATTATTTAGATACACAGTGCAAACCTGTATAGTCTACTCAGAAGTGAGACACGCAGAATTCAATGGGGCATACTCTTAGGTAACTGGGTACAGGATTGCAGCCTCAAAAGAAGCAGCAGCAGCAAAGCAGGTATTTTTTAATGGGTTTGGGGGGAATTCTAGGACCAGTTCCTTACTCAAGTTGGGTTTTTGTAAGTGGGATGAAGCATTCCTTTTGCCCAGAAGGAGTGCAGGAAAACAGTGGAAGATAGGGGTGCCTGACGTGCTCTGGTCCATGGGGTCACGAAGAGTCGGACACGACTGAACAATGAAGTGCAGGGAAAATGTAGTGGCCGTTTCTATATAATTGTTCAACCCCTTTTTAGAATCTGAGAGTCCGAGTCATTCGGGGTTGCACTTTTCAAAGCAGACAGCAGAAGCAGGTCACAGGGACCGTGAAGGAGAAATTTGTCCTGGTTGACGGGGAAGTCGTGATCACTGGCAGCTACAGGTAAGGAGTTCTCCTTACCTCTTCTTAAAGAGCATTTTTGCAGTGCGTGAGCTGCTGCAAATGGAGCAAAGCTTTAAAGAGTCACACCTGCACTCTTTGATTCTCAGGGTGCCTCTGGACCCATGTGGGACTCAGAGGCACTTTGGAGAAGGGATGGGGGAGGGAATTTGATTCAGTTTGCATTGAAAGTCAGACTTACCTAATTTGCCCTTTCCAAAACTTGTGAACCAAAACACAGGCAGCCTTCAAAATTCACACTCCTCTGAATTCTCTCCAGACAGTAACGTATACAAAAATTGCACATTGTATTGCAAAGTGTGTAGATAAATGCAGGCATTTGGGGAAATAAGATATAAAAATGCATTACATTAGGCAAAACTTTTTTGCAAAAATGTGTACATCAGGCAAAATTGCATACAAAAATGTGTATATTGAGATAAATTTGCACTTAAATTCTAATGAATCTTCATAAGGACTTTAATAAACATAAACATAATAAACTGCTGTAAACTAAGAGACTGACAGATTCACCCATCCCCACTCTGAGAAGCTAAAGTTGGCAGCTGCAGCTGTTCTGAGCTTTGCTCCATTTGCAGAAGTGAGCCTGCTATAGAAAATGCATGGAGGGGACTGAAGGCTACTTTGGCACTGTTGCTTGGGAAAGGGAAGGGGCTACAAGGTCCTGCACCTATGCCTGGTGGTTTGGCCTTAGTGGCTGCACTGGAGAAAGTGTCCCCATCATGCCTCTGGAGTGAGGAACCTTTGGCCCTCCGGAAGTTCCTGAACTACTGCTCCATTGGTTATGCTTGCTAAGGCTGATGGGAGTTGTATGTGGAGGGCCAAAGGTTTCCTACGCCTGCTCTGAGTGTATTACTCCAAGATTGGAAGCTGCCTGAGACCATGTTTTGGCTTCCACACTTTGCCTCTTTCAAGTTAAGGGGACCCACAAAGTACGTCTTCTCCATGGGCCCTTAAAATCTGGAGCTGGCATGGATGTTGCACTCTCTCCCATTTCTTTCCTGGAATAATTGCATCTCATTCTATTTTCATGCTACATACTCAGCTCCTGATCCCCCTATAATTACTCACAGTGAAGACTGCCAGACTCGGTAGAAAACTAGAGTTACCACCTTTTGTAGAGGCAGCCTCTGTGTCTTTAACGAGCCACATGACAGGCAAGAATACAACAAGCGATGCTTTTTGACAGCACACTGCTGGGGAACACTGCCTCTGTTCCGTTTCTGCCTGTCATACACATGTTTAATGTGTTAAAGAGCCTCTCTTTGCATGGCAGAAAAGATGGCATCCCATACAGGAGATGGATCTCTGTGACTACAACCTCCCACACGAGGGGTTGATGCATGTCTTGGGGCACGAAATACCTGCCACCTACAAAGCGTCCTTCTCCCAGGGACTTCAAATTACATCATATGATTGTTTATTTCAGTGCAACTTTAGTATTTGTTTTGATGTGACTGGAAATACGGCCTTTTCTGCTTTAGTTCTCAGTTGTCAGCAGAGAGAGCCTGTGACAGTGCTGAAATTCAGCTGGATTTGGGCCAGGGATTTGGGATTATTACTTGACAGGACTCCTTCCTAATTGGTTCCAGGACTTGCTGGCATCCATTAGCAGATTTCCTAGAGAGTGACAACTCAGCCATAGATCAATCTTTAGTTTCAGCAGAAACTGATTCATTTCCTAGTTTCTTCCACATTCCACTCAGCTGTAAACCACAGATGGTGTTTAAGAGCCCTAAGAGCCCAGGAATTAAGGCACTGTATCTCATTTCTCAAGACACAGTGGTGGCTGCTGCCCATTGGAGCTGGTTGCGCAGAAGGCAAGGAGGCCAGCAGCAGGTGGCGGCAGAGCCAGCAACAAGCAGAGCAAAATGATTCTAGCTTTGCTGAATTTAGGTAAAACTAAAGAGGAGGAGGGCAGGATGCGAGTGGCGCTGTGGGTTAAACCACAGAGCCTAGGACTTGCTGATCAGAAGGTTGGCGGTTTGAATCCCCGCGACGGGGTGAGCTCCCATTGCTCGGTCCCTGCTCCTGCCAACCTAGCAGTTCGAAAGCACATCAAACTGCAAGTAGATAAATAGGTACTGCTCCGGCGGGAAGGTAAACGGTGTTTCCGTGCGCTGCTCTGGTTCTACAGAAGCGGCTTAGTCATGCTGGCCACATGACCCGGAAGCTGTACGCTGGCTCCCTCGGCCAGTAAAGCGAGATGAGTGCCACAACCCCAGAGTCGGTCACTGGACCTAATGGTCAGGGGTCCCTTTACCTTTTACTAAAGAGGAGGAAGCTGACAGTCAGGACCAACATCTGGGGTTGTTGTATATAGGCAGGCAGACAGCGGGGAACTGGCTGAGGGGAGGCTGAGTTTGGTGAGACAGTACCACATTTGCCCTACACTGCTGCCTGGTCTTCTATATATGGTGATACTTCCGCAATGTGTTGTTCTCCTTCCTTCTGTAACGTCATCAAAGTGATGTCACCACCTATGACCTCAAGAGGCTTAAACTGGAAGTCCTCCATGGAATCTGCCAATGAGCTTTTGGCATCCATTGTGATGCTGTTGCTTAAGCAGCCATCAAATTCTGCTAGGCTGATGCCCAACGTTCATTCTATCCCTTGAGTGGGTCAGAGTTGCAGAGTTGCTGTGGATTTATTGGTACTACGTGCTTCGTAGACAGAGAAACACAACAGTTAGGGCCTGGTTTTGGAGCTTTGTGTACTGAGTTACTGAAGCTCAAAAAAACCCCAGCTGACACTGACTTTCTGGGAATCCCATGCAGATCAAGCAAAATATTTGTTTTGAAGCTGCAGGGCATGGAGTATCTCCACTGGAGGCCAGACAGTCCTAAGGACTTTTGAGTTATGCGTTCATCAGTAAGGACTTACATTTCTGGAACTAGGAGATCTAAAGCTGTCTCTGTGATTTGCTCCTGGAAAGAAAGCTGCTATTTGGGAAGCACAGACTGATCTGACATTGTAACTCATTTCCAAAGCTAAGTAAGCTTCCTCTGTGTAAGATTCCTGTATCTCAAGAAAAGCCAGATCTACAAAATGCAAGGAATCTGGTTTAGTGATAAATAAAGTCAAGCTGGGTAGTAGTACTATTGGTTTTTGAAAACCACATGGTAGAGGAAACCTGGGTTAAGAGCTTCCTTTGAAAGAAGAGAAAGCTGGGATCCAACCTGTTGAAAAAACAAGTTTCTGCATTTCAGAATACCTGCAGCCACCAGCTGAGAATTTTTTTCTTTTCTGGGACCAGGAAATCAAGACTATTCATTTTACTGGAAAACAGGGCTTGAAAAACAAGACAACTCTACTTCTGAATTCTCTGAAGCCACAAAAAAGAGAGGTGAAGAAATAAAATAAAACAGCTGGTGGAGAGGATTTTAGAAAGTCACGAGCATCTTCAATTCTGTTACTTAGGAAAGAACTCTCTTATTCTCAAGCGGCAAGTGATGAAGCATCCTGTGCACTTGGGCCTTGTATATCTTCTGGTCTGTGTGCTGCCCTCCATATTTTCCAAGGAATGCTACTTTTGTGACATCACTGCCTCAGCCAAATGCCCAGCCACCAAGATGAGTTGTGCCGAAGATGAAGACTGCTTTGTGGGTCAAGGAGCTGCTTTGGGGGTATCAATGATCCAAAACAAGGGTTGTACTCGCTCCATCAACTGTGGCAAAGAGCAACCTGTTGCCCACATGGGGGTAACCTACAGTTTGGTCACCAACTGCTGCCAGGGGAATTTGTGCAATGCAGCTCAGTTCCTGAAAGTCCCTCCTCTTTTCCTCCAGCTTGCCCTCCCCACCATTCTTGTGCTGGGTCTCCTCTGACTCTGCAAACAATAAAATCTTTCACATGCTTTTGAATGTTGAGTCCTTGTGCCTGTGGTGTGATGGTGCGTCCCAACCCAGAAATGACTGCATCTAGGCAGTTGTGTGAAAAATAATGATGTACCTCACTTCTCCCTTACACTAATAATTCAGCAGCACTATTGGGATGCCGAAAAGAGTTACCCGAGAATTCTCTAGCACAGCACAATCCATCCTGAACATGTAGATACCATGTTTATGGCTCGGTCCTCTGTGTCCATTAAGACATCACAGTTTGTTCCCTGTGATGGCTGCAGCAGATTGCTGTGTGGAACGATGCCACCTCTGCAGTCTCCCAAGTTCAGGCACAATTTCTCCTCGTCGCTTTTTGATGGCAATGAATCACGCAGCCTGCAATAATCCTAATTCTCTGCCTCCCAGAGTTTGGCTTGGTGGATTTATCCTCTGCCCTACCAGCTGCACGCTTCTTCCTCCCTGGGTTCAGTTTTGCACTCCGAACCTCTTTGTATGCAGCCTTCCATGAGGGTCTGATTGAGGTCTGCGCATCTCACGAGAAGGAGGAAGTCCCTTGCTTTTTAGAATACATGCGATTGGAGTACCACATGGGGCAGGGTCTCTCAGGAGACACACATGTGTGCAACTCTGATTCTTATGTGAGCAGATGGCAAGACAACAGTGAAAAGCTTGCCTTTCTAAAATAATATTTTATTGGTTTTCCAAAAATAACAAAATAACAAAAAACAAAAACCCAACAATACAAAAGCAAAACAAACTGACTTCCCTCCAGTCCCTTCCCTGGTTCCATTATTTGTCAACATGCTGCATGTCCATTATTAAATTATAACATATTTAAATCACTATTATCCATTCATTGTAAAATTACAAGTACTTTTTAAACCCTGCTAATGCATTAACCTGTGTACAATGCTTCTGTATATATGCAATCAACTAAAGAAGATTGGCAAGTTAAATTAATGGAATATGCTGAAATGGCAAAACGGACAATGACATTAAGAAGCAGAGACGACAATGAATTGAAAAGCTTGCCTTATAAACACGTCCAGCCCATTGGTTCATCCAGCTCAGCTGTTTTACAACATTTCAGGCACAAGACTTTTCTATCACTTGCTACCTGGTTCTTCAAACAGAGATACAGTACTGAAGCTGGCCAAACAGGACTTCTGCTTGCTAATGTTCTCGTCCAAAATTTCACCTGTGCTGAGGGTAATTTCCTTCAATCTCTGGGCACAACTGGATCATACTAAGAAAACACACAACCACATTTTAAGTTGGCGCCTGTCACTCACATGTGTCCACTCCACACTAGCACCTCAGAATTGAGGGTAAAGTTTTGGGCGTGCATCAGGGAGCACCGCACGCAATACACCCTTTGGGAAATTACTTGAGATGCGAAGATAAGTGTGAAAGGCCAGGATCAAGTTGCACAGAAAAGGTGCAGAGTCCCCACCCCATTTCATGGGCAGTTTAACAATGAGTTGGATAAACAATGAGATGTGTGGTTGGTTTTTAGTTAATCCTCCCTAAGGACCAAAGACAAGCCTTCCCGGATCAGACAAAAGGTGTGTCTGATCTCACATCCCTTTTCCCACAGTGGCAAGTCAAACCCTTCTGGGAAGCCTGGCAACCCATTATGAAGGCTACAGCCCTCACCTGTTTCCCCCCAAGCAGATGGAAAGCCCTACTTCCTCTGAACATGGAGGTTCTATTCAGCTATGACTGCTAATAATTCTGGTGGACTTTTTCTCCATGAATTTATCAAATGCAGGGTGGGGAAGAAGTGACCTTCCAAACGGTTGCTGGACTACGATTCCTGGATTTTTTGGGAGGCCACAGTGAGAACTTGATGCTGGACCAGATGGGCCATTGGCCCATTCTAGGTTCCCATCATCCTGGACCATTGGCCATTTGGGCTGAGGCTGATGGGACTTTGAGTCCAACAATATCTGGAGGGCCACAGGGCTGTTCTTTGTTTTAAAGCCATCTGAGCTAATAGCCATCACCGCACCCTATGGCATTGAATTCTACAAATTAATTGTGCATTGGGTGAAGACATACTTATGCCTGTCTGTCTTGAATCTACCGTACTTCTCATTCATTTCACTGGGTGACTGAGTCCTAGCATCACGAAAGAGGGGGGAAAATTATTACCCACACCTTACATAATTTTGTAAATCTCTGCTATGTTCCTCCTAGTTACCTTTTTTCTAACCTCTCTTTTTCTAACTTCTAATTTCTACCCATCTTTTTTCTAATATCTGTATTGCTAGTTATAGCTCTTTGTAGCACTGAGGTTCGGTATAGCAAAAACAATGCAGTGTCATGGCTGGAACGCTGGGTTTGGATGTGGGAAAAACATGTCTAAGTTATTCCCATTTGGCCATGAAGCTCATGGCTTGGCAGGCTGATACCTAAGCCTAATCTACCTCACAGGTTGTTTTGAAGATGAAATGAGGAATTTCTATGTATGTTGCCACAATACTTTAGAAGCATTTTGCCTCCTAAACAGTGTTACTGAAACCATTACAGACCACAGTTGAGTTGGGGTGCGGACCATGTTTGAAGCATATCAGGAAAGAGAGGCTGCAACCCTTCTCCCTGACATCTACTTTCCATGCCCTGTTGCTGTTTTATTATATATATATATAGAAGAGCTTTCAGTTCTGAGGTAGCTGGTACAGTCCACATGGAAACTGTTTTTTCACGTTATAAGTTAAGAGTGGTGCTAGCATCTTCCTATCCCTTACAAGTGTTCTGGGCCTAGATACAAAAGGCCTTTCGTTTCATAAATTTGCTACAGGGCGATGACAAGCATGTACAAAGTCAAGCACCTCTTGAATCCAGTCAGATTATCTTGAATCCAGATTATCTTCACTACAAACTTCAACTGGCTGAACTGTCATTACCGTAGTTCTCCTTGAGGCATTGGGGGTTGGGGCAGAGTTTTTCAGCACCTTCAAATTACAATACCCAGAATTCTGTGGGGTAAGCGATAAGAGTTAAACTGGCATGAAACTGAGAAATCCTGAGATGTAGATATGCCCTTAGGGCACCTCTAGTTTGGTCACACATGTCACCAAAAAAAGAGAAAATGCAACACTAAAAAAGAAAGCCTATCATATGCAAATGTTTAGATGCAAATTTAGAAATAATTACCGTAATTAAGACAAAAATACAGTGGTACCATGGTTTAGAACTTAATCCATTCCAGAAGTCTGTTCTTAACGCATTCTTAAACCAAGGCATGCTTTCCATAGCAGTGGGGGACCCAATTTACAAATGGAACACACTCAACAGGAAGCGGAACATGTTCTGCTTTCAAGGTGAAATTCACAAACCAAAACACCTACTTCCGGATTTGTAGCATTCTTAATCCAAGTTGTTCATAAACTAAGCTGTTCTTAAACCAAGGTACCACTGTACAACATATCTCCTTGTATAGTAGTAGGGACGACTGAGCAGGGTTGCTAAAACTGTGGATGAAAAACTTCAAGGCCCCTCCTGCTCTCCCTTCTTAGGGTTCGTTCTCCTTAAACCAGACTTGCATCAGGCAGCACTTCAAGCAGAGGACTCGCCTCTGTACACAGCATGACACAGAGCCACCCTAGCTTCCAGACTGAGCTCAAGTAGCATTGTTATACAATGGCCCCAGGGGTCTTTCCAAGCCGCAAGTCTCTTATGCTGAGGTCTGGCTTTCCTCCCCATTTCTCCTTTCTACCTACCATTCTACCTGCCCTCTTGATTTGCCCAGGGGCATTCATTTTAGTTGCAGTACATACAGAGGCAACCTTCTTGCCAATAGATTGCAGGTGAGGCCAAGCATTCAGTGCACACACTGAGGTCAGAAAATCCTGTTGCTAGCTCATAGCTCAGACAGCCAGAGCTTGTTTTTCTCCCTCTGAAAGACAGCCTAAATTACCATATATAAATCAGCACACGCAAATTTGCATCAGAGACCTGTTTCCCAGGTCTTTCAAGGACCTAGAAATGTCCTTGTTGAGCTCCACTTGGATACAAAGTAAGCATGGCTTGTCCATTATTGTGTCATTGGAATCTCAGCTTTTTGGATTTTCTTATATTCATGATTCCATACAAAGAGACTGTAGTTGCCCAAAATGTACATGATCAGTGTTCGAAACTCCCGTTGTTCTAGGCACATTTTGTGGCAGGGAATTTCATTAGCGCAAGCAGTTTCTGAGTTATGGGCGCAGTACTGCGTCTAAGATTTCAGATTGAAACTGCCGAGTGGAAGGAAAGGAAGACCTTTTTCTGCCTCTCCACTTCCAGCTACTCTCTGAAGACTAGAGAAAAGACCCTCTTAAGAATATTAGGGAGTGGGGAGGGGAAGGACTGGAGCATGTGAAAAAGGAACGTAATATTTTAGCTGCAGTTCATTCATTTTCAGCTTTGTATTCTTGTCATAAAAAAGAGTGCCTAGACATTTTGCTGTGCCCATAAGCTAGTTTTAAGGGGCCATTTAGCTCCAAGCTTTCATATCTCAGTTTCTAACACTGCATATGATCCATGGCTAAAACCCCTTTCCTATCTCCCGTCCCCCAACCCCTTTCTTCTCAACAGCTTCACGTGGACAGATGCTCGCTTGAACCGCCAGCTGGTCACTCAGCTTACAGGAGAAGTGACAGGGGCATTTGACCGGGAGTTCCGCATCTTATATGCTGCCTCTTGTCCCCTGCCAGCCCTAGAAATTTCACCTAGACTCCAGCCTGCTTCGAGCCTGGCTCCATTACCAAGTACCAATGGGCCAGATATCACTCCGTACGTCAGCGTCCTGGATGGGGTGCAGCTGTCCAACCGCATTGCAGAGCGACGCTCCGTGGCCCCTCAACCCGTGGCCAAGAGCCACGCTGGAGAGTGGGAGTTAGTATTGGCCTCCCCTGCTACGGCGGAAGACCCTGTGCTACCCACCCCGCCTCCAGAGGTGTCTATTCGAAACAGACTGGCATCATGGCGTGGCACAGACCTTTCAGGAGGCGGCCTGCATGGATCCCCTGATGGGCAGAATGCTCTTAGCGATATACTTAAGAGCGTACACCGGACTCGGCGTTCAGCAGCCAAGACCACAGGGGCTCGTGCTAGTAAGTCCCTGTGGGACCTCAGCCAGATCTCCGGAACCAGCACAACAGGAAGGGGGTGGAATGGGATAGACTCAGCAGAAGAAGCTAAGGTAAGCATCACCTATATTTTCCAACTCTAGGTACATTCTAGAGTGGCCACATATCTTGAGAGGGAAACCCTGCCAATGCTATAAAGCTGTCCGTTATACTGTTACACGCTACCCCAATTGGCCAGTGGCAAGAAACTCCAAGCGCTTTCCCCAGGCTTCAGTTTCCTTGGAATGGAGGTCGGGAGAGACTATGGTGTCTTTGGGATATGAGCAAAGGATGGAGGGGCTCGCAGAACCCACACCCCAACTGATCCTGCTTCTCCTTTAGCTTAGTAGGGAAACCAAGCCCAGCACAGAGCAGTCTTGTGTCTGTATTCCCAGCTTCCAGCACCAGCCCAACTCACACACAACAACAACAACCACTCTCTCATACACAGAAAAGGGTCACCCATTTGTCTCTAAGGTAACAACAACAACAATTTTATTATTTATACCCTGCCCATCTGGCTAGGTTTCCCCAGCCACTCTGGGCAGCTTACAGAATATATAAAACATAATAAAGCATCAAACTTTAAAAACAGAGCACTGCAGCCATGTGAGAGGGGCCTCATAGCTGACTGGGGATTTGAAGCCAGGTCTCTCTGTCCGATCCTCTGTCCGCTTCACCACACCATTTCTCCACTGGATACAAGACAGAAACAAGACAGGAGATTAGGGTTCTTTGGGAAGTGGATGTCCTGTGCATCCTTTAACCCTCTTAAAATAAAAACACCAGAAGTATATCCTTGAATAAGAAGAGGGTGTTTCTAGGCATGTGCAGAGTGTGTTTATTGTATCATTGCATATCATCAGCCAGCCTTCCTTTCTGTAAGGTTAGGGGTCAAGGCTTTCCACACTTGAGCCTTCTCATCTTAGAAACTGAACACTGCACAGCCCCATTTTTTACATATGCTCCAAACCAATTATTTCCAAGTTCCTTTCCTAAGAACCCAGTCTCCATCCCACAGTACATCTAATTCTCATCTACACCATCTTTCCTGTTCTGTGTCCCGAGAGCTATCGGAAATGTAGTCCACATTTGATAGCGGGCACTGTCATTGCTTAAGGCCCCACAATGCAGCATTATTGCAGTTGTATTGTACATTCTTCACCATCTGTCCTCTTGATGGCTGGGCAGGCTTTGCACCCCAACCCCCCAACCATCTAATAAAAATCTGCCTTGCCTACGTGGCACTTGAAACAGAGGGCTGGCATGGTATCCCGGACTAACACATCAAGTGGTATTGTTTATAAACTGCATTTATATCCCACTTCTTTTTCCAAGGAGCTCAAGATGGCGTACGTGATTCTCCTCCTCCTCCTCACTTAATTCTCACAACAACCCTGCAGGGTAGGTTAGGCTGAGAGGCAGTGACCAGCCCAAGGTCACCCAGTGAGCTTCACAGCCAAGTAGGGATTTGAACACTAGTCTCCCAGGTCCTAGTCCAACACTTGAACCACTATACCACACTGGTAGGCTTGTATGCCTACTCAATAAGGGACTGCCTTGAGTTGCCCCCACCCTGTCTTTCAAATTAAGAGACTGGAGCTCTTCCTTGTAAGCAGATCTACTCCTAAAGCAGCGTCGGGTAAGAAGCCACAGTAATTAGGCAGGTGCTTGATCCCTCTTGCACGTTGCTTGACAAGAAGGGGAAAATACAAGAGGGCAATGAGGCTGGCGGCAGCCCAAGTCCATTTCAGCCAGATCCTTTTTTTCCGGCAGACCTATTTTTAGATGTCGCAACAAACTTCTCTGTTGCCACATGCATTTCATGACTTTTTACTGTGAGTAACCTTCACATTCCTTTCAGAACCCAGCCTGGCCAGCGACTGGCTCTCAGCAGCAGGAACAAGAGGGCAGTACATACAATGGTCTCTATGGTCTTCGTTATAGCTGGCCCTCTAAATGCATCTTTGCACCTACAGCAGCATTACATGGCAGAGGGTCTCTCGGGGAGAGACTTGGTGGGGTCGGTGCCAGGGGAACTTAGCTCTCCCCCCCCCCTTGTTGATTATCCTGAGTCTCTTCCTGTTTTCTCCAGATCTGTTCTAAGATTGGAGATTAACGCAGCTGTGGGGAGGGGGGAATAACCTGGGGTAGGGGTTGTGGGGGGAGGATTAAGCACCTTTCTCTTACCTGCCCATTTGTCTCTGCAACCCCCACCTGACCAGACAATTATATGCTTGCCTGCAAGACTTTCACTCGGGGGCAACACAGCAAAACCCAGACACCTTCCCCCCCCCCCCCCATGTTAACAGCCACTGTGGAAAGATGCAGGAACCAATTTCCAGAGGGAGATTTGGTTTTCCCTCCCCAGTGTTTCTTTCTGTGAGAAAAAAAAATCACATTTAGTTTTCAAGACATTCCTTTTGCTGTGCAGTCTAAACTCCGACTCCCTTGCGAATCAACATTTCGGTAGTAATTTAGGTTTCCATGGGAACAAAAGAATTCAATATTCTCTGAGCCTGCTTTGTGCTGCAGGAGGTCAAAGTGTACATTTCTGTAAATCCACGCCCTGGAAAAAGCCGTGATGATCGCTTTTAGTCACTTTGGGGACTCGAGCACTGTTTTCCCCATCAAGTCTGGATGGTTTTAAAACAAAAAAAGTTTTGGTTTTCCATCAATTCCAGATGTTTTGTTCTCTATCAATTCCAGCACTCAACATTCCCTCAGACATTCCAGTTGCTACAGAAACCAGTTCCTGATCTTGAGTCCTGGTTACTGTGGGAACCAACTTGTTCTGTCCCGCCCCGCAACCCCCCCCCCCCAAAGCTTCCCATGGCTGGGTAGGATCAATATTTTGATTTCTAATCACAAAGGGGTGTTGAATATATAAATTTAAAGGTACCAAATAAGGTTGGAAAATTATAAATAATACTGTTCCCTTAAAAGAAAGCAAACCCAGTCATTTCATTTACAGGATAGTGAGGATATCAATTCCCTTACATGAGAGCATTTTCATGTTGTCAGAACACCCCTGAGGTTACACTTTGTCACAGAAAAATAAATTATGTATGTCCCTACTTCCTAACCAAAATCAAGTTTCTGAAGAGGCCAGCGGCCCAGTAGGTACTTGGTGATTGTGTAAGGACAGAGCCAGGGTGCTTGAAAACAGCCCTAAAAGGTTATGACTTCCCCAAGGCCTACCTGTAAGCCTCTGGCTGAGATGGGACTTTGTCCTTAGCATTATAGCATTTCCAAGTGTTCAAAGCATGTCACATACATTTTTGTAATCATTGCAACGGCCCTGAAATGATGGGCCAGTAGCATCCTTAGATTGCAGGGATTGGGGTGGGTCTGAGTGGGGTTTGGCCAGAGCCACTTGATGAGGCCATATTTGAAAGTGGGGCCTTCAAACCTCTACACCACAACTCCAGGCCTCAGGAAGGGCAGCAGTTTTATTTGACAGACTTTGTGACTTTAACAGCTGACCAACAGGTGGTAAAAACAAGGTGTGGCGTTGCTGTTTAATTAACAATGCTTGGCCTGTTAAAAATGTGGTAACCTTAGATTTCAGTCCCACACACAGACCAAACACTAGCTCTTAGCACTTTCTGGTGGCCAGAGAAGTGGCAGCTATCTCGGTACTATTAAAGAGGGAAGAGTGGCAGGCAGACTAATCTGACCCACAAACCTCGTTGAAAAGGAAATGCCTGGTTATTATAGGATGACAGATTATATTCCATAATGAGAGTGGGTAATGGGCATCTTCTGCCTTGAGTACTAAATCTTTCTGCAGACCCTGCAGGTGGTACCCAGACCTCAGCTCCTATGTCCCTGTTTTCATAGGGTGCCTGGTTGCCACCGGCAACAGCTGGGCACAGGACAGGAGGCAGGTCCTAGAGCAGAAGATTCGAGGAAGCATTAGGCCTACCTCTGGGAGTTTTTTGACAAATTGGATTGATAGAAAGCTCTGCCTCCTTTGGCTTTGAACTTGGGTGAACTGCTGTAGACAGCACCTTCGGTCAATATTGATCAAGGCTACACCTATGATAGGGAGGGAGAACTCTAGGATGACGAGCCTTAGAAGCATGAAGGTCCCTCTGTACTTATCAGCTAGGTTCCTCCCTCCTATACCCTGAATGTTTTTATGCAAGGCAGCCAGCCATTGAACAGGTAAGGCTTTCCCCATGCCTTGTGCCTGGAACTGTTAAGGCACAGTCACCTTGTCAGGAAAAAAAGAAGTTGCTCTCCTCCACTTGAACTTCACACTATTTGTATAGTTCTTTTAGGTGCTGTAGTATGTTTGAAGTCATGTTTTTATAATGTTACATCTTGTAACTAATAGCTTTAATATTAAATGCTTTGGAGAGAGAATCATGAAAGGAGCATAAGAATATTGAAAATACAAATTTATCCTCCCCATTCCCCCACAGCTTCCTCATCTACCACAAATTCACTTCCTCTTTCCTGCAGCTATTGTGCCTAGCAGTCTCCACAGGGAATCTAGGAACATCAACACCATAAATGTTAGAACTCTGCCTCAAATTCAGGATTCTCATAGGCAGTGATTAAATTTCCAAGTAGAGAAGAGTGAGGAAGCCAAACAGGGTGAAACAGAAGCCCTGCCCCTCAACTTAGGATCTGTAGCTGCAGATGGTAGTGGGAGAAATTACCGTATTTTTCGTCCCATAGGACGCACCTAGTTTTTTGGGGGGGAAATAAAGGAAAAAATTTTTTCCTTTATTTCCCCCCCCAAAACCAGGTCAGGGAACAGCGGGATGGCGGCGCTGTGCCTCCCCGCTGTCCCCCGAGCTTGTGGGGCTGGCCGATGTCTGCCAGGCGCGAGAGGCGCTCTGCTTCAGGACGCCCTGTGCGCCGGGCGGCAGGCTGCTATCCGCAGCGTGGGGAGCCCTGCGGGAACTCCCGCAGGCTCCCCAGGCTTGCTGATAGCTTCCTGAAGCCTGGAGAGTGAGAGGGGTCGGTGCGCACCGACCCCTCTCGCTCTCCATGCTTCAGCGAAAGCCTGTATTCGCCCCATAGGACGCACACAGATTTCCCCTTCATTTTTGGAGGGGAAAAAGTGCGTCCTATAGGGCGAAAAATACGGTACTTTGTACATGCTCAGAAGCTGCATCTTTCTACTATTTCACATAGTTCAGAACAGATACAGGGGTGGAGGGACTCCTTGGTAAGACCTGGTTGTAATTCATGTGGGTTGCCAAGATGTTCATTTCATTTTTATCAGCAAGTATATTTTTGATGGTTGTGGAGAACAACATGAAAGAACCTAGGCCATGTTGCAAACCCAGGTGCTCTTAACAATAAGAACTAGAAATCTATGTCTGAAGAGGAGTTCTACAATGCATGGCAGGTACTGCCTATTCTACTTGTACATGAGCTTGTGCACGCAACATCACACTGGTTCTTAAGTCTGAAGTGTTGTTTTTTCCCAACCTTTCCACAGAAATGGGGTTACCAGGACACACCAGCAAGAGAGCTGATGAAACAGCGAGGGACTGGCTATGCCCCAGAGGAACCAAGGATGCCCGTTTACCTGGCACCTGGGCGTATGACCCCTTCCTCTGGCTACTTGCCTCTAGGAAGACTACAAGGACAGCTGTATCATAATCCTGCCACTACAGGTCTATCGCGGGCTTGGCCACACCCAGGACAGTTCCAGTACGGCCATCAGCTACGATACTGAAACCTCTCTGAAAATCTCAAGGCAGGGGAAAAAAATACTGGGAGGATAATCTGGAACAGACTGGAATATTTCCTAGAGGAACAACAGTTTATAGAGAGATTATTCATGTGACAGGACAGAATAGTCAGAGATGGCTATAAAACTGTGGTTTCTAGCTTTTAATAAAATATACTGGGAGACTTTTCTATCTGATGAACACCGACCCCAGTGAACTGCAGAATGAGATCCTAAACTGTGACAAGCATGTTTTAGTGAGATTTTAAGTTTCATCTGCCAATGAGGGAAGCCAAACACTTTTCCTTCAATGCAACTACACTAGAGCAATTCAAGTTTGTGTAGGATGAACAAGCAGGAGATTTGTAAACTTACACTGATGAGCTGCTCAAGGGATGCTGGGTGCAGCTACTGAGACAATAAAAAGAATATATAAACGATTATACTAGCAGAAATCTGGAATTACATTTATCCAGCCCTCAAATCAATGTTTGTAAAAATAGAAGACATTCATACAGAACAGTTGATGCTGCGTGGTTTTTCCCCCTTAATAATAATAATAAATTTTATTTATATCCCGCCCTCCCCAGCCGAAGCCGGGATCAGGGCGGCTAAAATCAATAAAATAATAAGTTGAACCATAGACACTAGGTTGTATTACAAAAAATCTCCCTCCATGATCAAAATACAGTATTTTGGCACTGGATCAAAGCAGCCTGCAGAATATGCTTTGACGTTTAAGAGGTTAGACTAATTGCACTGAACCCCACTGGTTTGGTAAAGGGAAGAGTTTAGAAAGGAAGAGTGACTGTTCCAAGGTTTATACACACCCAGGGGTTTTGACCCAGGGCAGATGATAAACAGCATGCAAAAGACATCTTCTGTAAAGTAAAGCAAGGCAAGGAAATCCTTCCCTCCCTCATTGGATCTAGAAAAAGGAAATGGAAATTAAAAGAGGGAACTGGAAAGAGATTCATACATGCTTGAAACTAAGCTACAAAAAGGGAGAACAGGCACAACCCAGATGATTTATTGAAGGCCGGTCCATCTGTGACTATTACCCATTTGTTCAAAGGCTCCAGTGTTCTGCCACTGCAGTGTCCTAAAGCAAGTGGGAAGAGATGCCTGAGACTCATTGACAAAGGGAAAAAATAACATACTGTTGCATCATAGAACAATTTATCAGCATGGATTGAAGTGAATTATGGTTGCTAGGATCCAGATTCAAGAGAGCTCTCATCTCTTCAGTTGTTGTGGAGAAGGGAAAATTCCAGCAAGGTGCAGATTCTCCAGTTGCTTCGTCTATGCTGATAGTGGAAGAGCAGCTTGAGGCAGCAAAATATTCGCTCTTGTGCCCCTTTTAAAGGCAGACGAGTCCTTTGAGGGCCTGGATCTTGTATCCTGCAGGTAGAACCCCCAGCCTCGTATTTGTCAGGAAATCAAGACGCCAATAAGAATCTCAGGGTTTGTTTACACTGGACTTGCACCCGTCTTTCTACTAATGGAGAGCCTCCCACATGATGCTGCCCTGCATCCTTCCCCCTTTAAATGCAGGGTTTTTCGATCCTGGCTGTTTTGTTTTGGACTTTCCAAGGAACAAAAAAAACAAAACAAAGAAACCCCACCCTTCCTGCCTGTCTCCCCTCTAAGACAACACTGGGATGGGAAGGGTCTCATCTGGATGCCCCTCCCATTATTGGGGAGACAGGCAGGTACAAGTCCACATTTTTTGCGGCAGTCCTAGTGGCCCAGTCCTAGGATTTCAGAAGCCTTCTTTCAAAGAAATGTCTGCATCAAAGGGAAAGCAGTTCTCCAGCACTTAAGATGCAGGATATTTTATCATGCAACACATCTACCCCATCCCATCACTGCACCAATTCGAATATTTAGTGCAGTTCAGACTGTGGCTGCACAAATCCATTGGCTAGTACCAATGATTGCATCACTAATCAGAGACACTATCTTCCCCCACCCTTTTGATAAAGCCAACAGCCCCGAGGGAAGATGCCCACCGGCTGCATACTAAGCGTTCCTTACAAAGTAGCACAAATTACACAGGCTTCCACAATTCCAGTTATCTTCCTTTCCCTTACTGTTAAATAAATGTTTGGTGTGCTTCAGTGCTGGGAATCCATTTCCAAAGCTCCTTTAAATACTTTCCTCCATTAGCTATTAACACCAGGCATAAAAGTGCTAGGTTATTAAGATGCCAAAGAAATGGGGGGGGGGGGGTTACACACAAAAATATGGAAGTTGCTCCCTCTAGAGGTTTGATCCCTAAAGGCACCTCTTTTCAAGACCAACAACTCCCAAGTCTGACGGATCAAGGTAGTAATACCCAATGCATTCACTTTTTTTTTTTGGAGAAGCTTGTTATAATGAAACCAGCACCGTTCAACAAAGTCCACCTGATGCTGGAATCCAGTTTCTTTCACGGCATCAGGATCCTTGCAAAGGCAAAGCAGAACTCGTTATGGTTCTTGCAGTGCCACACAGTTCCTTGCTTGCTGTGTTTGCAGGCTGCTAGGACAAACGATAAGGACCAGGGAGGGGCAGAAGACAACACACTTAAGATATCCAAGGGCCATAAAACAGAAATCCAAAGATAGGAAGCTACCTTCAGACTAGTGATCCACCCTCGTTGGAAGCTGCTTTTTATACCGGCTCCCTTGGCCAGTAAAGTGAGATGAGCACCGCAACCCCAGAGTCATCCGCGACTGGACCTAATGGTCAGGCGTCCCTTTACCTTTAGACCAGGACTGTCTACCTGAGACCTTCTGCATGTAGAATGTGTGCTGTGATGCTGTGTTGCAACCATTCCTCTTTGAGGATGCACTATATCCTTTAAACCAGAACAGCCATTCAACACAGAATGGGATGGTATAATTTTCTGGACTACACCAGTTCAGACTGCAGGTGGGGGAGGACCAAATTTCAATGCTCCCCTTGCATTAAAAAAACAATTCATGTTTGTGTATATATGCATATACACAGTTTCTCCCTCTGGAGATGGCTTAACTACGTCAAGAAGAATAACCAGAATTCTGTCACCTCCTTCTGTGCAACTGTAACTCTCAAAACATTGCCAGCTCATCCGAGAGGCCAACCGTGAGGTGGAAGTTCTAGAAGTCAACACCGAGGAGGGCTGGGAATGTCCCCTGACTGAAACATGGACAGCAGCTGCTAGTCAGTGCAGGTAATGCTGAGCTGGGTGGACCAATGGTCTGGTTCTGTTTAAGGCAGCTTCCTTTGGGGGACAGTAAATCCTTGCCTCCTGACAACTATGCACACACTAAATGTTTAAAACACATTTGGCACACATTCTTTCCCTCGAATAATTCTGCGCACTCTAGTTTGCCCCTCTGAGTTACAATTCCCAGCAACCCTTAGTGAACTACAGTGCCCAGAATTATTTGAGGGAAAGAATGTGCTTCGAAAGCGCTTTAAATGTATATAGCATGTACACAGCCAGTAGCTTGGAAATTTCACCAAGCTCATTTTTTTTAAGCCAGCCTTTGAAACAATAATACCCAGTGGAACAAAATGCATTCTTGCCCACGTACAGTTAAGCCTCAGGGGTTTCCCAAAATGGGCGGTGCAAATCCACTGGGACTGAGAGTTACTTACTGAAGACTAAAGCAACATGGGAAAAGCAGAGTGGAGAAACCAGCAGAGAGAAGTGGCCTGGAGGTGTACAAAAGCTGAGCAGAAAGATATTGCCACCTCCAGACAGCATCAACAGCAGCTTTTCTGGAACTAAGCAGATCTTGGTCTCGGGAGTGCCTGGATGGGAGACCACTTTGAAACCCCACACAAACCACTTTGAGCTCCATTCTGTACTAAAGGCAGGTTATAAAAGCAAGACATTTGAAAAGCAAGTGGAGTGAGGCGTGGTACAGAGTGCTCTTAATCTTGGGGAGGGCTTTTAAATATTGGGGTTTGTTTATTTTGCCCTTTCCTGCTGTTCAAAAGGAGGGTTAAAAAACAAAACAAAACAACAAAACAAAACAAAACAAAACAAAACAAAACAAGGTCTCCTTATAGCAGGTCAGACTACAGGCCCTTTATTGTCTACACTGCCTGCAGTGGCCTTTCCACATCTCAGAGGCCTTTGCATCAGCTGCTATCTGATTCCTTTGTGCTAGAAATATTGGGGAACTGATCACAGGACCCCCTTCGTTTAGTGCTCCGGCCACTGCTTCCCACCCAGATCCCTTTAAATCAGGCAGACCAACAGGAGTCACCAACCTTTCAGGGCCAGGGGGCACATGTGGAATTATGAGGAAGTGCTGTCACGGCGTGGTATAACATGAAAGGGATGCCACATCCAAAGGAGCATAAAAACAGCCGGGATCACAAAAAGCAGCGGCCATGCCTCACAAAAGAATGTGTATCAGCCACTGCCATATACACTCACAGAGAAAAGCTCACTGAATCTCTCCTCTGCTCAGAATGGATGGGAAGTTGGGTGTCCAATCCTGGCATCCCGAAAAATATGGGCACATTTAAGGGTGTGTGTTCGAAGTAAGAGAGCAACAAAGCCAACCCAAACAGGAAATGAGCAGGTACGGCAATCAGTCTCTCATGCATTATGGATTTTTGAGGTGATATTTACCGAGACATTTTGTGAGATGATATTTACTAAGACATTTTGCCGGAACCGTATGATGCTATGGCAGGCACCATGGGGCGAGCAGGTGCCGCATTGACAACCTCTGAATAAAATTAGGCCTGTAGATTATTTGCAAGTTGCTTCTTGGAGATCAGATACAAACCTTCAATGACCTAGAAAAGCATAAAATTAAGGCCAAAGCTTGCCAGGCTGTGGGTCCTGTAGCTCTCCTGAGAGAACACAAGGTCAGGCTGGAGGAGAGAAACACTCACCTGGGTCCAACAGCACAAGGCACCGGAAAGTCCCTTTGCCGGAGGGTTTGAGCCTGATCCCAGGTAACACTTCCAAGAACTTCAGGCTGTCACTGTAGCCTCGCTCCAAGCACAGTTTCCACAGCTTGACCTTGTGCTCCTTCCACACCAGGGCCTCCAGCTTATCCAGTCGCAAACCTAAAGGAAACTGGCCCAGAGTGCTTCGGAGGAGAGGGATCACATCCACACCACCTGAAAGATACAAAGAGGCCTCGATGATGATAAAAAGGCTTTTAAGTAGGACTCTGCATGCCCTCCCCACCGATTCCAGTGTTCCAGATCTGTCCTGGGCAGACTTGACCTGGATCTGGGCCCCAAACTGGGGCCCTAGCGCATTGTTTAATTGTGGTTTTAAACCCTATTTTATATGTGGTCCAAGGGCAGGGGAAGAGACACAGACAGGCTGCCTGCACTTCCTCCTTCTCCTCCATCCTGCTCCTTGCCACCCGATTACCACCCCTTGGGACAGCTCTAGATGACTTTGGGTGGACCTAACCTGGGGCTGCCTCAAGCTGCTCCAGGCAATCAGCCCAATTTGGCTCAGGACCTAGAATTCGGACAGAGTGGCCCCCCAGCCCTACTTTTTAGTGTTGTTTGGAATGGATCTCAGTTACCTGGAACAGCTAGCCCATTTGTCAGTGGGTGCTAAGTGTGGAACCAGTGCTTTACTTGCACACAATTTTTTGTACTCTTCATGCCAAATTCCTCTTGATTATTTCTCGACTATACTACAAACTGTCAAAGTCACAGGACTCCTGACTTTTATTATATTTCTTTTCCCTTAGCCTCATTAGGCTTCAGTTCCCATTGCAACTGCTGAAGGCCTCTCTCCAGTTAAGGAAGTATTTACAGAACCTCCGCTCAGAAATTAAACTGAAACAGGCTTCATTAGGATGAGGGTATTCTTCAGAAAGCTGGATGATTTTCTTCCTGCTGCACACCTGCTGACGGTGGGGAAGGTATGGCCAGCCTGCTCTACACAGAACGAAGTGATAAACGAGTGTGCCGAACAGAGAGGACAAACTGTACCTCTTCACACTGCAAGTAAATCATCTCATTTTTGAAAGTTTCCCCATGTTAAGATTTCTCCATGATGATAAATTCAGCATAGTAGGAAAGGGCTGAGGAAGCACACAGCTACAGTCTATGTGTTCTATTTCCTGAGATGGGTGGGTGTTTTTTAAAGGATAAGTATGCAAAAGTGGACAACCAACCCCACCCTCCTGTAATCTGATGCAGTCCATTCCCCCACTTCATTCCCTTGAATGTGTAGCAGTAGGCCACACCTTCTCAAACAGACCAGTCTCCTTGTCTTACCTTCACCATCTCTCCCATTCTAGCATAAAAACCACACATTTTAGATCTCCTATTTTTCCATGCTCACATACCAGGGTCCCTTCCAAAGAGCATACTGTACAAACATTACTAGTCAGCTCCTCCATGCATCTTACTTTGCCTTGCAGAAGAAGATTCCCTTGGCCACTCATAGGCAGGGTCCAGCTCGTCTGAGGTGAAATCAAAGGGATGATAAGCAGCCCTGCGTGAAGGTTTCTTGCACTGGTGTGTGGACAAAGGCGGAGCTGTGGAGCAGGCTGGAGGGGGCGCTGTGGGGCAGGCTGGAGTAGAAGCTACAAATCATTTGGATACAAAACATTAAAAAGTCAAGAATGTCTGGAATCCCTATTTTCACATTACGTATGCATTGAGTTGGATCCTAAAGGTGTCTTTCCACTAGCAGAAAGCCTATTCCTGTCAGAGAAGGCCTATTTCTTCCTTAGCAGAAAACCGCTGTATGAGGAAAACCAACACCAAATCCACGAGTTCCTCCAACTGCACACAGGCTTAGTCTCAAGCGAGACCTTTTTTATGGCCTTCTACATCTTGCTCGTTATTAAACATCATGATCGTTACTAAATTTATTCCCCGCCCTTCACCAGCAGATCCCAGGGCAAATGACAACTACACTATTCAAAATTCAAAATAAACAACAGTTAAAGCAGATTAAAATTACAGGAATAGGGTGGACCCTGGGAACACACATCTCATGAGCCAAAGCCCAGGGTAAAAAAGTGTGTCTGCAGCATTTGCCAGGAGCTGAATTGTGAAGAAGCCAGACACACCTCTGTGGGGAGGAAGTTCAACAACTTGGGGCTGCCACAGAGATTGCCCTTCCCTGAGCCACCACCCCAAACTAATTAAAGTATTATTATTAAATAATAAGATTTTATTATTTTTCCATGTTGAAAGCCACCCCAAACTTCTGAGGGAGGTGGAACTACCAAGAGGGCCCCATCTGCTGATCTTAACACCCCGGGGGGGGGGGTTGTAGGGAAAGAAGCAGTCGTTGGGGCCTAAGTCATTTAGGGCTTTCAACATTCATGTGAGCACCCTTGAACTGGACCTGGAAGCAAAGAGTGCGGCCTATGTTTTCCTCATGCACTGTTTCCTTCATACCAAAATGCAACCCTGCTTCCCCCCATACATTATGGCACTACAGCCTTAGTAGCCTTCCATTAACTCTGGCACAATTGTTCCCGGAGGAGCACAAATGCATTTTCACCTTCCGCTCACGCTTCTTTAGATTAATCCAAGCCACCCGAAGCATGAGAAAAGGGGACATAGCATGAGAAAAGGGCACAACCAGTTTTACGTGAGGAGCAAATGCAGCCTGGGGGCCCTCCTCTCACCTAGCAAAATCAGCGACAGACACATCGCCACGCAAACCCATCTCCCCACAACTTCTCTTACCTCTGGAGAAGCTGCAGGTGTCCCAGCTCAGGGGCCGGATTTGGCTCCAAGGCCTTTGTCTGTTGACCCCTAAGCCAGAGGCTGCTGTTATGAATAACTAATCGAAGGCCCCATTTGCACAGTAGCAGGTTGCTTTAAACCCAGAGTGGCTTAACAAAGCCAAAGTGGTTTAACAGGCGGGATAATAAATGTACAAAGTAAATAATAAATAAGCATTCAATCCCCCTTTATAAGGAGCTCTGGGAATTGTAGCTCATAAGGAGAAGGGGTGTGTGTGTCTCCATACAACTCTCATCACGCTTAAGAAACTACAGTTCTCAAAGAGTCATTGCTGGAAACCTATTTAAAGTGTTTTAAATGTTTAGTGCAGATGGGGCCTAACGTTAAGTAATCTTGAATACACGTTAATCAATAGGAGTTACCACCTCCATGGAGACAATCCTTTGCAACACCCATATCACACTCCTGCTGCATCCCCCATCTTTAAATCAAATTTAAAGGAAAAAAAACAGTTTCCCCACAATTAGAATAGCTCCACATACTCTTCTCTGGTGGTAGAGAGGCCTCCGACTCGACTGGATGAACTGGCGAATCCATCCGTACTCTTTTATAAATAGGTTGTTCTTCCTCAGACGCTGGGCGTTTCTGACAAAGGTCTTCTTCCGTGGATCTCACCACAACTTCCAGGAGCGGTTTTTCCATGGTCCTAATCTGGGCCTCAGATCATAACATCCTCTCACCTCCCTCCCCAAGCTTGCCTAACCCTCAACTCTTTTCCAGAAAATACAGCTACCCTTGCAAGTCAGGGTACTGGGGGGGTGGGGAGCACAAAGCCCACCCACATTCTCCTCCAAGCCAGACAAATCTATTTCTTTAAAAGCAAAGAAAAGTATAATATTTTCAAGCTGAAGAAAACCACGAACAATTAAAGCGGGGGGGGGATGCGCTTCACTACTGATGCCCCTTTAATAAACCTGCATTTGTATGGGCGTGGCAAGAGTCAATTAACCCAAAAGGGTGTAGCTTGAAAAAGGGCCATACTCAGACCCAATCACAACTTATTTAAAACCACAGCCTCACCTCCTCAGCCCATTGCAATAGAGGGGGCACTTTACCTGCATAACAAGCAATAGCTACTTTGATAGGAAGCAGCTGAGCCCTCTGCTGTTACAGGGAAAAAAGAGGATCCTTTTCACATCTACTGCTGGCAAGTCAGGTGTCCCACATCTTATATTGGTGCAGCTGGTTTTTCCTGCCTAAGTGTAGAAGCTTACATTTGCCAATCTGTTAAGGTCATATTGAATCCTGATTCCATGTTGAGTGGCATTGGCTACCCCTCCCGGTTTGGTGTCACCTGGAAATTGGATGAAGGAATTGAGGGGATGCTCATCAAAGTCATTTATAAAGAGGCTGAACAACAATGGGCTCAGGATAGAACCCTGTGGCACCTCACTTGTCCCTTTTTTTTTGCAGGATAACTAGGAACCATTAGTGGACACTATTTGGGTTTGGTCAGTCAACCAGCTACAAATCCACCTAAAAGTTACCTCGTCCAGTCCTTTACTGTTGCGTACAATTAATTATTATCAAATATAACTATCAATTGATGTTCCAGTCACTTGTCATTCATTTTAATACATTAATATTTTTGGTTGAAGACCTTTTCTCTGCATGCTTTCCCTACCACAAGTTTGCAATGCATACATCCCAACTTTAGAACGCTCTTTCTAAAGAGGTACGACTGGTGCTGACATAACATTCTTTTCATTAGTAGGTTAATATATATTTATTTTTACAGGACATAGCAGAAGGACTTCATAATTATTTATATATGTTACAAAACTTATATACCGTTTGGAAAAAGAAACTACACTGCTTGTTGGTAGACACACACAGGTGAAAAAAAAGAATAAAATTATCAGTAAAATCAGTTAAAAGAAATATTTAAAACATTCAGAAAACAAACTAAACACATATCAACTGTCTATAAAATTGGATAGGCTTGCCTAAAAAAAGAGTTGCAATCAGACTCCAGTTCAGAAGAAATCAGACTAGGCAAATCTAAGGCAAGTTTCTTCTGTCTCTGCCCCTTTATGGAGGAGAAATATTGAAGAGGGTGCAATAGGTCATACAAGACCTGTGGATAGATGGGGAATTCTCAGATGGTTCAATTCTAACCTTTGGAAGAAATGTTTGGGAGTTCTGGACACTTGAGCTTAGGAAGGAGGAGGCAGTGTTTTTGAAGTGTGCTTAATAGAACTGAGGCTTTCAAATTTAAGTGCCACCTCACAAACTGGCACAGAGGTGCAGGTAATGCTTAAAACAGCTTTCAGCTCAATATCCCGCCTGAAGCAGAGTCCAAATAGTGCCCCTGCCTCCAAGCCCAACACTTACATTTATTTATTTTTAAAATACCCCACTGAACAATTCAGATATTAATTCCTGCCTTCACCTTATACCACTACGGGTCACCTCCAGGTGACCCTCCCTGCCCCGTACTCAGTTAAGTCTACCTGCACAATACAGCCACTCCATGAGGCTTTGTCAGTGGGTTCCCTGCAGGAGCGTGGTCCCTCAGCAGCGGCCCTACCATGACAAACCCTTGATACCAGTCGTGCCCTTCCCCACGCAATGGTGCCAAAGCAGGCTACTTCACAGCAAGGCTGGCTGTTAAGGCATGTATTCCTTAGTTCTTATCCTCCATCCTCCTCCCTCAAATGCCCAACAGGCAATTGTCTAAGTTGGCATGACACACCATTATTTTGCATCTAAAAGGACAGAACAGGCATTTTTCCTTCCTCTCACTTGCACAGTCGTGATTTCAACCAATCATTACAGTATTCCTATCCACCAGTGTGCCCTAACTAGCAATTTATACCAGCCCCCTCAAACATTAAAGGCAAACCTGGCTTACAGAATTTTACCTGAGAAGGCAGTCATTTTTAATATGCTGCAGCTGCCCCTTCTCTTGTTCTGCCCCCCCCTACCTTCAGGCAGAGAACTCTCCTCTTCTGGAGTTGCTCCCTTTTTTCTAAATGGTTCTTATTAACAACATGATAAAAAATGATCACATAATTCATATTGTGCCAACATAGTGGTATGTGGTTTATCTAGCATTCCAAAAGGAGACAAAGGACCAGTTCTGAACAACAAAGAACACACATTTCATTCTGTCCCTCCCATCAGTTAATATTCATTCAATCATTTATTGTTATATCCTGCCCTTTGTCTATTCTGGAGCACTGGATGGCATAACATTATAAAACAGGAGTTGAACAACATTGAAAATGAATAAAGCATCTAGAGTTACAGCAAAAAAATGCAAAAGAACAGAAGCTACAGGATCATGCATGAAAGCAATACACTTCATGATGAAAACACTTAAACAAATAAGAATTTCCGCTCCTCTCACTGGCCTGAGGTGCTAGTGTCTATGTCACTCTGGAAATCAGTTGTGTGAAGGCCGAGATTGTGGTTACTCACTGGTGAGGCAAAGGCATTCTGTGCATGCCCACGAGCAAATTCTTCTTGATAATTACTGGACATGATCTAGGACTGAATTATGCTGGTCAAAACTGGTTCCGAGTTCGGCCTCAGGTTCAGCAAGGGGTAGGGGACTTGTGGCCTTCCAGATGTTGCCAGGCTACGGCTCCCATCATCCCTGACCAATGGCCATACTGGTTGGGGCCAATGGGAGATGGAGTCCAACAACATCTGGTGGCCTGCATGTTCCTTATTCCTGTAGGCCAAAGCTCCTGTTTCAGAGGAGCCATGATGTGGTGACTGTGAGGTAAATTGGTTGAGGACTGCAGTCTGACAATCTCTGTGTGTGGTTCCCAATCCATCATTATGTTCCTTCCCATCCAAAGCAGCCACTGGAACCTGCGGTTTCAAACCAGACTCGGTCAGCTTAACGGGATCCTGCTGATCCAGGATCCCTTCATTTGGCCCAGCTCTCCTGGTGCTTCTCGCTCCACCATGCTTCTGCTATGAAGAACAGGGCTAATAAGAGGACGCAGGCCCCAATCCCAAGTCGCAGTGAGTTGGCTGCGGTGAAATCCATGGCCTGGGAATGTGAGTCTGGAGAAATTAGAAAATGCATATCAATGTAAAAATAGTTTTCGGTATACAGCAGGCTTTCTTCTTTCATCAATCACTACGCAGCCTGAGAACTGTCCCCATGAAGATGGATTTGCCCCAGAGCAGGCGGCAAATGAATGGGGCATTAGCACTACGGGAGCCGCCTCGAATCCACTTGCCTGTGCTTGGTTTCCTTGGCAGCCATTAACTGGCAGTGCCATCCTGTTCAAAGGGGCTTCTCCCAGCTAAGTGTGCTTATCACCACAGCCTGAATCATCTGTGCTAATATAATCTGAAAAGGGCAACATTCCAGTGGCGACAATGACACCACCAGAACCATCGCACAGCAATCCTTTACATACGTGGAAAGCACTTGTCGAGTGCAGGGGGGCGGGGGAAGAGAAGTGGCGTGACGTCTAGATGTGAAACATCACATGAAATTATTCCAGTGCTGTGTTCCTTTATGGAAAAGCAGCAACTAATGGCGGCTTCTTACTGTGCGTCCCCTGTAAGCCTTTCAACCACACACATGCCCGTGTGATTGCCACAGATGAAAATTTGCATACAGCTGTATGTTGCTTTTTCCTACAGAATTTTCCATGTAGGGTAAATAGCGACATTAAAGGAGACATGCAGCATGACCTATCAATCAGCTTGCATACCAATGACCAGCTGTGGGTAGCACCAAAGGACAGAGTGGTAAACCTTGTTTTGCTGCTACATAGGACTGCAGAAACAGAAGTATGTGTTCTCCGTCCCAACCACCCCACACCCATCCAAGTTATTTTCTGTGGGAATATGGTTGTGTTTGATTCTCCAGCCAGTCATTCATTTTGTGGGCATCCACTCAACCTCACAATATCTTCCATACTTCCATATTCAAATCCATTTTTAGACTGGAAGCTCCTTGGGACCAAGGACTTACCCTCTTTTACTCTGTAAAGCACCATGAATGGTACAATTATCATCATCACCTAAGGCTGTGCGCTATACACATTCAAACCACTTTTATTTCCCTCAAAGAATTCTGGGCACTGTTGTTTATCCCTTGCAGGGTTACAATTCCCAGCAAACTACAGTGCCCAGAATTCTTTGGGGGCAGAATGTGTGTGGAATGTGCTTCAAAGGTACACAGGCTAGCTCTCTGCTAGAGTACACTTCTCCCATCCCCCCTGGACTCACCTTCTGTCCACGCTTCAGTGTCATTGAGCTGATATTCCTTATATTGGCAGCTCAGCTCTCCTATGGTGATGTTAATGGCCTCTTCTGTGAGGTTGAAGCTTGCAATCGCCCCATCTTGCCAAGCTCTGGTTTCAGCAAAGAGCTGCCCACCTTGGTAAAGATAAAACCAGCCCTCAGCAGCAGAAGGGACTGAGCAATTCACTCGATATCTTCCCGCAGAGTCCACCAACACCTCCAGGTAATTGGGGACCACAGTTGCATCTGGAAGAGGAGAAGTGTGAAAACGAAAAGATATAGCTTAGCAGTGTTTCCCAACCTTGGGCCTCCAGCTGTTTTTGAACTACAATTCCCATCATCCCTGACCACTTGTCTTGCTAACTAGGGATGATGGGAGTTGTAGTCCAAAAACAGCTGGAGGCCCAAGGTTGGGAAACACTGGCTTAAGGGATGCTCAGTGTTGAACTGGCTTTCTTTCTTTTTCTTTTTTAAAAACACATTTGTAATCCTTGTAGCCATACATACATATTCTAAGTAGAAGATTAGTACTTTACAGCCACTGCAAACATTATGGGAATTTTGCATAATTCAAGGTTGATGGCTGAGAATCAAGTAGGACTCTCAGAATGCTCCAGGATGCAACAGATAAATGGAAGGGCAAGGAATGCGTAAGCAAAATAAATTGCAATTCTTTAAAGAAAAGAATGGGCATGATTAAAATGTGTCCAGTTCAGTCTTTCCCTAACCTATCCTTCCCTCCCCCGCAACCTTTGGCACTTTGTGCAAAATTGGGAGCTCAACACTAAATGATACAAAAAGTGTAAATACACAAAATCTCCATTGTAGGATCAGGATAGTTCAGACATTTTAGTAAAATCTGAGTACAGTTATTAATGTTTCACTTTGGGTTATAGGGCTACATTCAACTGCCTTTTACTCAACAAAGGCCCATTAAAATTAATGACCATGCCTAAGTTCCATTGCTTTCAGTTGCCTATCCTGAGTAAAAGTTAGCTGAATACAACTCATAATTTATTTTTAGCTGTCATCTGCTTTTCGGCTTGGGAGTCCTGGAATGTCAGTGGACAAATGAGGTGACTGTAGCTTTTGTCAATAAATGCTTTTGCAAGACCTATTTTCTTGATTACTGGAATTCTCTGGAGTATTCTATTTCCAAACTATGTAAAAAGTAACAAGTCCATGAGTCTTAACGCTGAAACTCTTCCTGTGCCTTGATTGTGGGAAATTGGGGAAAGATTTGCAGATAGAAAGATGAGAAGTCCTCTGCTGGCATTATAATTAGGAGTTAAGTATGCAAGCTGGGGGAGCACTGAAGACGACTGTTGCTAGCTCAACTCCCAGGTTGCATTCCTTGTCACTCTCCAACTTGTAGAAGATGCACTAGATGCCCTAAAGCCCTAAACGGCCTTGGCCCAGTATACCTGAAGGAGCATCTCCACCCCCATCGTTCAGCCCGGACACTGAGGTCCAGCTTCGAGGGCCTTCTAGCGGTTCCCTCACTGCGAGAAGTGAAGTTGCAGGGAACCAGGTGGAGGGCCTTCTTGGTAGTGGCACCTGCCCTGTGGAATGCCCTCCCATCAGATGTCAAGGAAATAAACAACTATTTGACTTTTAGAAGACATCTGAAGACAGCCCTGTTTAGGGAGGTTTTTAATGTTTGATGTTTTATCATGTTTTTAATATTCTGTTGGGAGCCACCCAGAGTGGCTGGGGAAACCCAGCCAGATGGGCAGGGTGTAAATAATAAATTATTATTATTATATAAGGTGGGGAGGAACTTTCTGTCATGTCCTAAAGCACATGGGGAACCTCTATGGGAGGGGGTGGCTTTCTGCTTCAGAAGTGCACTCTCCATTAGTTGGAGGGCAGCAGGGACAGTAATGGGGGGTGAAGGTGGAATCATCGTGCTCATCCCTGGTACATCACACTCATGTATTAATTTACTTAACTCTCAGTTATAATGCCTGAAGAGAGGTGTCTAGCTAGCCCAATGTTGCCCTTCCTCCAAAGAGTTCAGGCTGATGCACATTGTACTCCCTTTTATTCCCATGGCGCCCTCGTGAGGTAAATTAGACTGAGACAAAGTGGGTGGCCTTATTATCAGTGAGCATCATGGCTGAGTGGGGATTTCAATCCGGGCATTCTTGTTCCCAATCTGCCACTCTATCCAACACATCACACTGGCTTTCTGACTGAATATACTGCTTAAATCTCAATCCAGAAAGGATGATGGCCCATATCTACAACAGCTTCCCCTTGCATCAGTTCAGTTCCCTTCCTCTCAACCTCTGCTGTCTCCCAAACCAGCAAGTGCCATCCTTAAAACCACTCCTCCACCTAACAAGGTCCCCTCTTTTTTCTGGCAGGGATCCTTTAGCAGCTCCACAACAAGCAGAAGTTCAATGGGTTCTGGTTTTTCCCATGCCAGAAAAAGAAAGAAAAACCCAGCCAATTTAATTTCTGCTTACCATATGTCTGCTGAAGGCACAGAAAAAGAAAGTTGGGAATTCTGCCCCCAAGATAGCAAAAGGTTTCCTCACCGATAACTTTCAGCTGCACTGGGTCGCTGGCGTTTGACCAGATGATGGGCTCTATGGTGCTGTGGTAATAACAGGTGTATCGGCCTGCATCGGCCATGGTGACATTCTTCAAGGAGAATTCAGCAGTGTCAGAGTCCCCTCGAGGAGTGACCTCTATCCGAAAGTCCCTGGCCTGGTAGAGGACAAAGTTGACCCCTAGCAATGGAGCCTGACAACAGACAGTCCAGTCCTGCCCTGCAAGGACCTCAGTACTGGGACTCGCAGAGATGGATGGCTTGGGGTAATGGTCTGTGAGTGGGAGAGAAAAGCTGTTTACTGGGCCTCAGACCTTATTCTCTGCTGTTAATAAAAATAATAATAGGTTGCTTCTTTTTACATAGTAATACAAGGTGGCCGAAAAAAACATCAATATCATTTTTAAAACATTCCCCATGAAACAACAAAAACCAATTCATATCAAAACACACAAGCGGCATACAGTGGTACCTTGGTTCCCAAACGCCAAAACCCCGGAAGTAAGTGTTCCGCTTATCAAATGTTTTTTGGAAGCCGAACGTCCGATGCGGTTGTTGGCTATTGTTTCCAGGGCGCCTGCACCAATCAGAAGCTGCACCTTGTTTTTGAACATTTCAGAAGTCAAGCAGACTTCCAGAATGGATTGAATTTGGTGCTTTTGTTTTTGCTGTTTATTTTGCATTTTGTTTTTGATGCTTTTTCAGTTAATTTGTTTTTGTGACTTTGTGGAACCCAGTTCAGCTACTGATTGATTGATTGTGTGACTGTGGAAATGGATAAAAGCCTGCCCCCCCCATCCAAACAATGACTATCATCAGTGCAGGTAAGGGGGGGAAATAATTTTTATCATCTACAATACTGTCATATTTATCTTATAGTGCAGTGCATTGATTATTGCTTCCATTTTAGGGATCAATGGTCTTGTTAGATAGTAAAATTCATGTTAAATTGCTGTTTTAGGGGTTGTTTTTAAAAGTCTGGAACGGATTAATCCGTTTTGCATTATTTTCTATGGGAAAGTGTGCCTTGGTTTTGGAACACTTTGGTTTTGGAACAGACTTCCAGAACAGATTAAGTTTGAGAACCAAGGTACCACTATACACACTATACCTTTAAAGCATGTTTGAAACACACCCACCCTCAGAGAAGTCTGGGCACTGTAGTTTGTTAAGGGTGCTGGGAATTGTAACTCTGTAAGCAGTAAACTAAGGTGCCCAGAATTCTTGGAGGTTAAGAACGTGCCTTGAATGTGCTTTAAAGGTATATAGTGTGTTTGCAAAATTACAACATTAAAAACAGTAGCAACAAACCTTTGTAAAGAGAAGGGGTTCAAACATACTGCCTTTGTGTGCTTGTCTGTTTATTATTTACATTTATATTATAAATGTGCTCAAAGCAGCTTGCAGCAGAACAACAAAAATGCAAATCAGTACAGTATATGTTTAGAATAGCTCAAATACTAAATCACTTCAAAATATAGTATGACAATCCAGCAAATAACTCTGTGTGATTATATGAACATTGCAACATTTTAAAGCCACCATAAAATGAACTATCAATCATTAAAGGTATCAATTAATTACAAATATAATGCACATTCCAGTGCAATTGCATGTCAACAATAATATAACCAGCAGCTGCTGCATGGCAGGACCATACCAAATGGTACAAAAACTAGCAATGTATGTGAAAATTTCATAGAGTCTTAAATGTTTATGTTTCCATAGTGACCAGAAGCTTGAACATATGTTATAAAATACATAGTAATAAATAGAACTATACTGTAAAGTGTACAAATGATTTGTAAATGCTAAAAGTTAAAAGTGCACACATTTCATAGCAGCTTGATCGTGTAAGTATAGGGTATAGTATAAGCAATCCTAGGGTTGCTATATTCCTGACACACACAAAGTAAGTTGACCTTTTTTATGGAAGACCCAAAATTGTTCAGCTTTTTGGGAACAAACCCTTGTTGTTGAGCTTTTTTAGAGAAACCTCCCCCCAAAATAGTGATTGATTTTAAGCTTTTGGAGCTGTTTCTGTTGTTTTTTCCTTCGCGTTGCCATACACACAGGTTTCCCCTGTCATTGCAGATTCGGCAAAATCCCCCTGATGCCATTTTTACACCCGAAAACCAGGACATGTCAATAATTTTCCTGACATATGGCAAGGCTAAATAATCATAACAAGTGTTCAAAAAAATCAACCCCTTCTCATCAGCCTTCCTCACAGGGCGTCATCTTCATCAAGGTCAAGATCCTGACTGATGGAATCCAACAATGTTGGGAGAGCCACAGGTTCCTCATCCTTGCTAAAGGCCAGCATCATTGCCCCAAGTCCTTCACTACCATAAAGTCCTATTCCTGGACCAGTCCCAGTCCCACTGGTTCTCACACCAACCCTCCTGCACCACTTCGGGCCTATTATTGCGCATTACCTTCCTAGCATGGTCACTGAGTTGTACGGCCCAACACTTACCCTCTGTGATGTTTGCAGGGCTGCTGAGCGGGGAGCGAATGGGCTTCCCTGCCTCCCAGATCTCATAGCTGCAGCGGAATTGGTCCCTGGGCCCAAAGTTGTGCACCTCAAAGGTCACTTCAGATTGGGTGGGCAAGGCTTTCTTTTCAGCCACGGCCTCCGGGCTCCCTCCCTGGTACAGGTAGAACCAGCTGCCGAAATATGCCCCTTGAGCCGTACATCGGAGGTGGTGCTTCTCATCTGCATCCGGAGCCTGGAGCCAGAAGATGGAGGGCTTCGGCAGGGCTGAAAGAGAGAAGGGCCGATTGCCAAAACCCAGGAATGCTGATTCAAGATCCCATGTCTACAGTTCCCAGGATTCTTTGAGGCATGTGGGCTTTGAATGCGCTTTAAATGCATGGTGTCTATGCAACTCAAATCCTCGCTCTCGTCTAACTACCCACCCTGCAGTCCCAGAGTTCAATGCCCCTCTGATTTGACCAGCTGAATAGAAACTTCCCGCCCCATTGAGCTAAACTATACTCACAGATCGTAAGCAGTAAGAAGGGGAGAGTAACAGGCATCCTTAAAACACGCAGAGTCTTCAAATAAGAATCCGAGTGTCTGGACATCCCAGTATATAAATATGATGCCCAGGAAATGATGATCCATCATCAGTCATAATGTTGGGTTGGGGTAGAGAGAGAGAGAGAGAGAGAGAAAAGGAAAAGGACAGTTCCCTTTCTGACAAAGGCAGCAATAAATGGCTTCTTGTTTGATGTTTTCAGTTGCTCTAAAGACAGGGGTATAATTCTCAGAGTGGTTTAACAGTCAATTCCTCTTCACAGGGAACTCTGGAAATGGTAGTTGTCTGCGGGGAATAGGGGCCTCCGGACTACTGTCAGCACCCTTAACAAACTTTAGCACCCAGAATTATTTGGGGGAAGCCATGACTGTTTGAAGTGCTTTAAATGTGTGGTTTGTGTGGCCTAGAGGCAGCGAAAAATTGGAAGCCAGAGATCTGGTAAAAGTACACTGGCTCCTTTCTGTTAGCTGCAGTATCCTCCTCCCCAGCTTGCTTCTGCTTCAAGGTAGCTTTATAAGGAAAACTTCATGCCATATGCGTCTGCAATAATTTTGCCACACATCGTACACACTCAGCCTTTTGTTCCTTTGTCTGTTGTTTCAACAACAGCACGGCTGCACATCCCTGAAGGCAACATCTTGGCAGCAGTCTGCTTTCAACAAATACCGGTATCTTGTTCTGCCTTTGTGCACACTATTGTCAACTTTTGTTCACACAATGCAATATGGACTGCTATCTAAAAATAAACCCATGCCTACCTATGTACACACACCGACTTTCATATTTCATTATAGATCTGTGGGTGCTAAATGCTTGTATTTAATAAATGTTAGAATTTAATTGGAACTGGTATGTTAGAACTGGGAAATAGCTAGAACAGTGGTTCCCAACCTTTTTTTGGCTATGCCCCACCTAAGCATCTCTAAAATCCTGCAGCCCCCCCCCCGCCGTGACATATACTGTAATTCTTATTATTCAAAAAGTAAACTCCTATTCACATGGAGGAAGCCTAAAAGGCCATTAACTGTTAATAACTCATTCTCAAATTCCCCCCCCCCCAAATCAAATTGCCCCCCTGTGAGGCATGTGCCCCATGTTGGGAACCATGGAGCTAGACCCAAGTGTGCATTGGGGTAGTAAGAGGTGTGATGGACCCACCGATAAGCTTGTGTTATTAGCACACATAAAAGCTAGTTAAGTAGGCACACTTGCTGGGTTGTGTATTGGACAGTGTAATCCTAGTTAATTTGACAAGTGTTAATGAAGTCAGGCAAACTTGGGTGTTAGAATGCAAATAAATGGAGTCCTCCCTCTGTAGATAAAGCAGGGGGGAATTAATGTAACCAGGAGGCAGAGAGAGAGCATCATTAACCATTAACCCCAAAATTTGGGATCCTCTCCAAACTTTTGTAGGGTTTTGTAATAATTTTGTAGAGTTTTGTAGAACGATCCATGTACAGTGGTACCTTGGGTTAAGAACTTAATTCGTTCTGGAGGTCCATTCTTAACCTGAAACTGTTCTTAACCTGAAGCACCACTTTAACTAATGGGGCCTCCCGCTGCTGCCGTGCCGCTGCCGCACAATTACTGTTCTCATCCTGAAGCAAAGTTCTTAACCTGAGGTACTATTTCTTGGTTAGCGGAGTCTGTAACCTGAAGCATATGTAACCCGAGGTACCACTGTATTTTGTTTTGCTCAACAAACATCAAATGGGGGTTTGTAGTTAACAGCCAGAAATCCAACATTGTCCAATTCACTCCAAACCTGTGTCAATGTTTTATAGTCATTTCAAACCCCCCCAGTTTGTAGCGCCCCCACAACTGAGTAATTGATATTCAAACCAGGGGTAGCTTCATTAACTACAAACCCCAGAATTTGGGATCCGTTCCCAACCTCTGCCAATATTTTGTTGCCGTTTTGTAGCTGTGAGCCCCTCCAGCGACAGTTTCAGGTTGTGTGTGTGTGTGTGTAATCCATATATAATAATAAAACACTATAGCCTCCCTTGTGCCCAATTTTCTGAAGGAAACACAAACCCCATGCAGCCATCAGTGGAGACTATGGCAGCATGTAACAATATCAAACATGTTATGAAGCACGTCACATATCAAACTTGGAGTTTGCCTAATGGCTGGGCGCCAGACCAGGCCTTCAACCTGGGAATAAATGAAGTGATAATAAGGAAGGGCCTCTTGGTTACTTGAGCCAGCTGTGCAACACATCTGGCAAACAGCAGCAGAGCTCTCAAGATGCAAAATGTAGACTCTCTCAGTATCTGTCTCCCTTCCCAAGTGGTTTTGCCTGAACTGGCAAATCTCATAATGGATGAGTAATAGAAAGGGAGGCATGTGTGCGTATAGAAACTAGCTTCCTTTAAGATGGTTGCTCCCCGCCGCCTTTGGTCTCGGGCCCTATCCACCACTAGCATGTGGCCCTCAGAACAGAAGTTTGTTCTGAAAGGAATGTGACCTACTGGCTGAAAAAGATCCCCCAACCCTGTTTTGTTTGCCTCTAGAATATACCCCTGTAGAATAGAATATTTTTATCCAACAGACTGGTCATTTCAAAGGGGAACTGAACGTAACAGTATGTAAAAAACTGGAGTTTTGCGGTCAAACAAGGTCGAAAGCTTCCTTATCTTAGACCCGGAAAGTCCCTGAGGTGACTCAAAAGGAAGCAGCTGCCAGTGTGTTAGTAGGGCTGCCGGTGTCTTTGGCATTGACAGAGGAGGTGGAAATATTGCTATTTGGAAGGAAATTGTCCCCGAATGGTTAATTGCAGAGAAGTTCAGAGGCTAATTTTTAAAAAGGATGCCACACCCACAGCTCAACCTGTCCCCAGGGCTGTAAAGGGGATTATGCAGTGGTCAGGGAAATACACTCTGCACATGCTCTGGGGCAGAGTGTCCTATTGCAACTTTTTTCTTTTAAGTCATCAAATAATTCCCGCTACATTAGCAATGATAATGTCATGCAACTTCACATTTTTCAGGACATTCAAAGAAAGTATAGTGGTACCTCGGGTTACATACGCTTCAGGTTACAGACTCCGCTGACCCAGAAATAGTACCTCAGGTTAAGAACTTTGCTTCAGGATGAGAACAGAAATCATGCTCCGGCGGCACAGCAGCAGCAGGAGGCCCCATTAGCTAAAGTGGTACCTCAGGTTAAGAACAGTTTCAGGTTAAGAATGGACATCCGGAACGAATTAAGTACTTAACCTGAGGTACCACTGTATAGCATCTGACTCCGCTACTTGCCTCCCCCCCACCTGCCATCAATCAAATGCCCATTGGGTTGTATCTAAGCCAACAGAAGAACAGGCCTATTGAAACCAATGAATGTGATTAACTTAAGTTTATTAATTCAGCAGGGTTTCTCTGCAGCTGACACACCATACATTAAAGCACATCTCCCACCCCCTGCAAAAGAATCTGGGGGCCTGTCCTTTACCCCTCACAAAGCTACATTTCCCAGCACCCCTAACATACCACGGTTCCCAGGATTTTTGGGATGTGTGTATTCATTTCTAGCCACCTGGATTCACAGCCAGCCACTAAACGGCAAACGTGCACCAAGTGAAAAGAAATCCCCTATGCCTTCTTTTCCCTAGCAAAGCACCTTCAGGACGACGTGATTGGCCGTCTGGCGTTATTCATGTGCACGTGTGAACGCACTGCAGCAAAGAAACGCGGGGGAGGGTTTGAACTATTGTAAAATTGCACGCATGCACTGGGCAACTTACTAGGGTTCCTCCCCACCCCCCGTGTTCTCCATTCATATTACAACCCAAAGCAAACAGCTGCATGAAAACGTCCGGAGATGTAAGAAATCCATCAACGATGTGACAAAAAGCCGGCGTGCATTATCCTGTATTGCAAACGTCCAGTCTTGTCGAAGAGAAACAGGTTATAACAGTTTGAAAGAAACAAAGTAGCGATAATAATAACAACAACAATAATAAGTATTATTAAAGGGTGCAAAATCACATTGGAAATGCAGGGCAAGAGAGAGAGAGAGAGAGAGAGAGAGAGTCTATAAAACTACAGTTCCCACAATGCGTTGCGCCTCCTCCGCTTTCCTTTCAAGATGGCGGCGCTGAGCAGTAAGTGCCCCAACTGTGTCTCTTTTTGTTTTTCTCCCTACTTATTCGGCTGGTAGGTCCGTGTCTTTTGAGTGGCGCGGGGTTCGTGGAGGGGTTTCCCCCCTTTGCTAGAGGGAGCCAGGGTTATGGCAATGAGTGTTAAGTGGGGATCCGTTTTTGGGCGGGTTGTAAAGATAAACAAGGACATTCAAATTGTTAGGAGGATGACCTTCTTAAGTGGGTCGGTGGAGAAGGAACGTGGCGGAGTCTTTAGGGCACGTGCAAACTGTGTGCACGGGGGAGGGTTGCCAGGTGGTACACGAGTACTTTGTGTATTTTCAGTGGACCACGACCATAGTGTTGGAAGGGATCACAAGAGGCATCTAGCTCAACCCATTGCAGATACTGAAAATCCGCTACAGAAACATTTCTGATAGGCAGCCACCTTCCCTCTGCTTTTAAACCCCTAGTGAAGGAAAAGCGACCTGTGGGTGCCCACTCAGTCCTGAGCACAAGACACGTTACAAAACCTGTTCTCTCAGCTATGTTGTGAGCCAAGTGTGGTGGCAACCCCTTTCATACTTAACAGGGGTTAAGTCTCATTGAATTTGGTGGGACTTACTTCTGAATAGATTTTCGTAAGGTTCCACTGTGCATCCATTATTTTTACTTACTTAAAAAAATATGTCTCGGCTTTCCCATTAATAATGTGTCAAAGCGGTGTGCAGTATTATAAATGATCAGAAAAACCAAGAGCAAACCTTGGAAGCAGGAGCAAGAATAGCTCCGGGGAAATAAAAGTGTTCATCTGGCGTGTAGGCACCAAGCAAGTATCTGGTTGTTCCAAAGATGCAGTGCCTACATAGAAAAGGCCCCAACTCTGGTCACCACCTTAGAAAAGTTGGGGTACCTGGAACAGAGCCTCTATTATTACAGTCTTAAGTGTACGCCACTGTTGTTTCAATTTTTCAGATGGGAAAAGTGAGGCGCTGAATGACAGATCTGCTCACTAATTAGTGCCTCGTGCAACTCCTGGTTCCCAACCCTCTTAAATTATGAGTAAAAGATGCCCAAAGTCTGTTCTTTGTAGATCTGCCTGCACAAGCCAACTCCCTACTTTGCCACTAGCAAGAAGACACTGTTTTTTAAAAGGAGATGCTGTTCCTGCCATGTTGGTAAGCTGCAGGGGCAGGCAAATATTAGATGCGAAAAATTCCTATCCTCCCAAATACTCTGATAGCCTTCTCCTGTTCTAACTTATTAGGCCTCCAAACATTGTCAGAGAAGCAAGTATTCAAAACAGTTCTAATAAGTGTGCATACTTCATTATCCCACAGAAATTATCCCATTTCTGAAAAATGCATGGGGAAAGGATCCAGTTGTCGTTCTCTCTTTCGGCATTGGTTTTATGGGTGAGTTTGCATTACTTTTCCCTGCAGCCCAGGAATCCACTTTCTTACTTAATACATTTTTGCAGTTTGCTCGTGGGTGCTGTGTATGGGGTCCCAGAGCTTGTTGCATCCAGACACTGACCAGGGCCAGTCCTGCTTAGCTTTAGAAAGGGTGCTGCACTATGGGTCTTCAGACCACATCCTTGGTATGTTATTGACCTAGCCCCCAATTTCTGGCCTTACACAATTTGCAGCATACAACCCATACTGCAGTGGCATCACTGTCAAATTGTACTTTTCCAGAAACATACCGAATTTATTCCATGTGTGGACTAATGCGTAGCGATTGTTTTCAGGTATTGGAGATATCAAGCAGACTTTCAGAAAGGTGCTGCCAGATCAAAGAGAGTGCAGTGGGGATGTTTTTGGGACTGCATACTGTACCATACTGTACCACAAACCTTCCAGAAAACTGGAAGAAATCCTTTGTGTAGGCTAGGGACAGGGAACCTGTGGCCCTCCAATGACACACAATTTCTAGCAGTAGGGTTATAAGTTCTTGGTGTAGCAAATGAGGGCCTTTGTGGATGATGTGATTAAGAGCTAAGGGCTAAAATTTGTTGCTTAGTGATTTTTTAATATTTTTTCAAAAACAGCAACTAAAAATTCCTTCACATAGTAACATTCCCACCATAGATGCTAACTTCCTCCCCTTTTCCCAGACTCTCTCTAGCAGTCTGGAGAGATGTTGGGTTGATTCTTTTTAATTTAACTGGAACCCAGTGCCATCTATGTATTATTTTAAAAGTAGATGCTTGAACTTTTGTGGGCATAGTTTTAAATGGAGCTTTGCCTCAGAGAGCATTTGTCCTCATGTATCTCTTGTCCTAAGTCAATTTCCCATACTCTTTTCAAGCCTAGTGTATTACCAGTCCATTCTGATAGGAGTGCCTTATAAATGCTAGATAGCATTCTTTTGGAGTTGGTGTTTGCCCATGACGATGTTAGTGGCCAAGTATTAATGCCTGATTTGAGTTGTTGTTGAGCAAAAGAGCACACTTGGTATAGCTGAAACCAATTAGGACAATTATCATCTAGTATTTGGCATAGCTTGTCTGTCAATGGTTTATTATTTTTATAATAAACCATTGACAGCAGGTCACATAATCTATAGATACCCTTTTCGCCCAGTTAGAGAATTGCCGGTGTTTATCTCTGTATTTAAAATCAGTATGCTCTATTATGGGTGTTCCCCTCCCAATATAGACAAAGGGTAGCCAGAAGATACAATTAGTATTTGTTGGTGGATATTTTGTGTAATTTGAAGTAGATTGGCAACTACTTCTTACTCCCAGTTGCTTAAAAATGACAACTTTGAGATAACCTCCTGCCCAAGTTATACTGTTGAAATGTAGAAAGCCAAGAAAGTAGGTAACCAGAGGTAACTCTTCTATGGAAGGGCTCGTTTCTGGAACTAGAAACCAATTCCTGGACTCAGAATTCTTGACTTCAAAGCCTTTTGCACTGGACTCTGGTTGGTGGATCTCTTGAGTTTTAAAAAACAGAGCAGGTCCTCAAGGCTAAAGTCTTGCCCATCCCTATACTGATCTAAAGAGAGCAGTACTCTTGAGTTTATTTCTTTTGTTGTTAGTGGCTTGGTGTGCAATTTTTGTTTTCAGTTTCTTTCTGACTCACACCTGTTTTTTTCCTTTCCGATTTCAGCTTTGGTGGCACCGTGGGTCAGTCCCTTAACAAAATACAGTTCCATGATGACCCAGGCTGTACCATATACATATCCAGGTATAACCGCCTCCACAACACCTATCCCTTTAAAGGCAGTTCCTTAGGAGAGGAGCAGCGTGAAATATTTGACTCTATGTTTAGTGCAGCTGATGTTAGACAGGAATCTATGGCTGAGCTACTTCTTTGGAGCAAGGCAACTGAAGATCTAATAGAAGTGATATGTGATGTCGTTGTTGGGATACTTGACAAATAAAAAATTAAAGCATACGCACCCAAATAAAATAACTGACTGCCAGGTCTGGAAGGCACGTGCTGGAGAACTCCCAAAATAGCTCAATTGTCATATTGTTCACCTTTTAACAAAACAGTCAAATTTTCACTACAATTGGCCTCCTTGCAGGAGAACTGAAAGTTGGCCAACACATTCTTGAAAATGAGTCCATAGTTACCAGTGTACCGTTGAATATTACCACCCTACACACTGATTTGTGGGCAGAGCGTCTGCACCTATAAAGCAAGCTGATTGGCTGGCAAAACCAGAATGGGCATAGTTTTCCCATCATTGTATCTCTATGCTAGGAGGAAATGGTTCTCCCTTAGCATTTCTCCCTGTAGCACAGCTTTTGTCAGGAAGAAAAATGTCAACGATGACCGCACACACTTTCCAAAAATGAGGGTGGAGATGCAGTGGCGAGGTTACAAGCCAGTGGGCTACTTTGTGTTGAGGCACCATTTTGTTCTGTACGGGGTCTCTTACTCAAATACTTGTTGTGTCCTTCCCTAACAGAAGTATTTGATTGTATCCAAGCTGCAATTGGGAGATACACACACTTGATTTCTGTTCTTTTCCTCTCTCCAGTTCCAGTTCGGGATGATGGCAATATGCCAGATATTCCCTCCCACCCTTGTGACAAGGAAGGACCAAGTCTTGAATGGCTAAAGAACTTCTGAGACGGGCCCTTGTGAAGAACAGGCCTAGAGAACCAACACTGAAGGGACAACCCAGGCCTGCACTGCTCTCTGCTCTTTTGTGTACATGTGTAACATTTTCAGGATATAATAAACTTGCTAACTTAAAAGCAGGCTTCCTCAACCTTTCTCTTTGTGACCCCCCTCCCCCAAAACAAAGCATTGCTAAAGGGGTTGGGACACTTAACCAAGCTTAGGTATCACAGCTTCCTCTTTCAAGGGACACTGGGCATTGCCGTTCACCTGAGAGTAGTTCCTGGCACGTTTACAAAAACTGCCTGGCCCAGGAGTCTTTAAGGGAAGCAATGAAGTGCACCCTGAGACCAATTCTTATGTTTGGCAGCTCCCTTGAAATGGATCAGTTGGGGAGGGAATGAGGAAGGGAAAGGGAAGGAAGTGTGCAGTATTCTGCAGCCCTCAAAGAAACATGAAAATAAACTTAATGGGTGGGCAGAATTTAATCCAGGCACCACTGCTCTGCAGTAGATCTGGAAGAAGTGTCTACTCCTTATGGCTTCGGAGAAGAATGGGGGAGGGGGGTTTAGTGCCTTCCTCTCTCTGACTGGCAGAGAAAATAAGCAAACACTTGACAAATTTGCTAGTCTTGCATAATTTGCACATGTTGTAGGAGTCTGTTTTTAGTACAGAATTGGCTTTAATATATTGTGCCTCATGGTTAAGATACTCATACAAATCTTGGCTTGGAAAGCAAAGCAGCAGAGTTCTCTCGCAGCTGTAAGAAGACTCCTCATTCACTGAGAACATTTGTCACACAAAACAGCAGCTAATTCTGTTTCCTTTCTTGAACAGTGCATGGAAGCCAGCTCCTGCACACCACTTTCAATCTGCATTATATATTTAAAGCAGTATTATGCCACTTTTGGGGGCAGTCATGGGTTCCTCCAAAGACCCCAATTCCCCTGACAGAGCTACTATTCCCAGGGTGGTTTAGAAATCCCTCTTTGGGAATTTTGAGAATTGTAGCTCTGGGAGGGGAATAGAGAGCTCCCAACAACTCTCAACAGCCTTACCAAACTACAGTCCCCAGGATTCTCTGGGGGAAGCCAAGACTGTTTAAAGTGGCATAAAAGTGCTTATAAACATGGTGCCCATGTGGCCTCAGTCAGAGATCACTTAACTCCTTCAGAAACTCACAAATTGTGCGGCCCAAGACATGTAAGACATACAAATTCTACATACATACCCATTCCCACCCCATACTTAAGCTTTTCGACATTGGTAGCAGAATCCATTCATCTCCCTAATGCAGATGGACTTGAACACTATTAATACATTGGCTTTCAAGTTTTGTTAAGTTAGTGCAGTCCATTTTGTCTTCCAGCACCTGCCCCTCAGCTGCCCAGTGTCAGTTCAGATCGAGTGCACTCCAAGTGGCTGAGAGTTCCACAGTCCGTCTCTTGCTGGCTCTTAAAGTGTGCTTGTGTTCCTTTCAGTCCAAAACGCATCCCCAGGTGACTGATCAGCGGACAGCGCAGTGGCCTCTTTAACCCAGGAGGGAGGTAACTGACCTTCAGATACACATATAGAGTCTCCTTCGTGAGGACCGGTGAGTGGCCAGCCTCAGTCGAAATCAGAACAGGCCCCTGGGCTAGAGAACTTTGAATAATGGAGTAACTTATCCTGAGGACTAGACTGCTGCCAGGAAGGAGTGAGGACATCCTCTTGCTCACACTGGAAATCCTCTTCAGACTTGATCTGCAGCCACAAAAACCAAAACAGTGATTTAAAACAGTTTCAAGCCAAACAGAAGCGCTCTGTGTGATGTGGGAAGAAAGGGGATGCTTTCAAACTGTTCTGTGTGATAAACCAGCAGGACTAGAAGCTTGTTTAAAAATAGAAGACAAAATCTTGAATTTGTATTATGGTAGCAGATTCTGTGTAGCCGATGGCTGGAGTATATATAACCTAGTAATATGCCTGTCTACCATTATATCTGGCCACATTCCCCGCCTAACCCCCAAGGTAGTGTGTAGGTTAAGTTTGTATGGTCATCTATATATTCTCAAAGTTGAAAGCCTCTAAGTTCTCCCATACCTGCACAGGAAACTCTTCCATAGGAAGCAACGTTTGGGCTGCTCGGCGTAACCTCACTTCCTTTTCCTCTCGCATGTGACGCCGCCGCTTCTTACTGGTGGGGCCCTCAGTAGGTGAGATGCTTTCAGCCTCTGGGGCAGCCAAAGAACCCGAGAGACACCTGGGGGTGTCTTTCTCGGGGGGCTCATTCTCTGTGTTGCCAGGAGCTGGAGCATCAGTGCTGTGGCTACCTTCATCCTAGACAGAGAACAGGATTCAGCTAGAACTCCTCCATCCTAACATTCCTTCCACCCATAAGAAGGTAACATGGACATGTCCTTATTTCCTTAGACCAGATGTGTTTCTTACCTCCAGGACAATATCAAGGTGGCCTTGCCTGTAATCATCACCATAAGAATCAAGGACCCTCATGAGGAACCTGAAGGGAATGAAGAGTCCATTAGAAAGATAACCTGCAGACAAGACATCCCCACTAATCCTCTATAATAACTGTGTTCTTTTGCAAGGTGTTGATGTAGGGGATTCACTGTTATGAGATGTGGTAACAGCTGTCAGTTTGGGTGGCTCTAAATGAGGGATCTGATGAATTCATGGAGAATTAGTCTGCTGAGCATGAAAATTTAATAGACCCTCCTTGTTCAGGGAGAGGTATTTAAATCTCCCCACCCCTCACACTCCCATGACATACTACCAGACATACCTTCTCTCCTGTTTAAGCCGCAGTGTTATTCTCTGGACCTGATGCAGCCGGTTTAACATCCTCTCATTCACCTGTATTTGTGGGCAATGTCACCAGAATACATCAGAATTTTGCCTCTCCCACACCCAGCCTTGTATTCCACTCACCCACCCAGTGGTCCCTCCTCCTTGGTCTCTGTTTGGATCTTCATTTGGTCCAGGTTACCACCCCATGGCCAAGAATCTCTTCCTTCTTGTCCACCTACAGATAGTATTGCATAGAGTACAGACCTAAGTTTAAAACTCCACTCAGCCCCCAAAGATGTTGGGGGACATTGGGCTAGGGCTTGTTTCTTGTTTTACCTTGCTCAGAGGATTCTTGGGAATATATTTAATACCTTCATCTGATCACCATCTGAAGCCCTTCTTCGTGTGCCTCTTCCATGAGAATGGGCCTTTTCTGTGGTGGCTCCCTGTTTGTGGAGTGCTCTCCCCAGGGAGGCTCACCTGGCACTTTCATTACAGATCTTTAGGCACCAGGTGATGTTTCTCTATAATCAGGCACTTGGCTGATTATCATTCTATGGCCTTTTAAATGTGTTTGTAGGAGGGGGGGTTATTGGTTTGTTTTTCTTTTATTATGCATTTTGTGTTCTCATTTTGTGTTTTTATGTTGTGAACCACCCTGTGATCTTCGGATGATCTTTGTACCCAGGGTGTTTCTGATTTCCAAATACTTTGGCAGAGCACATGTTTGGCAAGCAGAAAGTCCCAGGTCCAGTCCCTGGCTGGGAAAGAACGAGAGCTCCTGACAATGAGAGCAGACAGTCCTGGGCTACATAAATGAATAAAAAGGCAGCTCCATGAGCTCATACCTGAAGTCAAAGCAGAGCTCAACCCACTGTGGCAGCTGTTTGTTAATTTTTCCAGCTGGTGTATTAAAATGATCCCCCCTCTCCAGCCAATCCCTTACCTGCTCTAACTCCTTGCAGCGCCGAGCAAGAGCCTGGCATTTGCGCCGTGTCATTTCCTGCTGCCTCAATGCCCCCTCTTCCTCCTCCTCTTCTGGTATTCCACCATCGGCAAACTCCACCTCTGTCTCCAGTTCACTCTCGAGGATATTGCCACCGAAGAGAGGAGGCAGTGCCAGCTCTGATCCAGGGGGCACAGAGAATTCTTCAAAGCCCACACCAGCCATGGTTGTGTTCTGGAGATTTTAAGAGAAAGAAACTGACATACTAACCAATATTAACCCTCCCCCTCCACCCCAATCTGAAGATCTAATGGTGGTACTCAAAAAGCCACATTCCCTTTACACCCCAATTTCCTATGTCATGTGAGACAGGAAACAGGTACATTTACAACAAGGGTGGGGAACCTGTGGTCCTGCAGAAGTTGCTGGGTGACAATTCCCATCTTCCCTGGCCATTGGTCATTCTGGCTGCGTAAGATGGGAGTTCCAGTCCAGCAATATCTGAAGGGCCACAGGCTCCACACTGCTGATTAACAAGGACAAGGGTATTAGTATGACAAGAGATGACCAAGGGGCAGCCACTTTTATGGGCTTGGGAGCATAATCCACCTGCAATTTAAAAAAAACCAACAACAAACAAACAAAAATATATTTTCTTACAGCCCTCTGTGGATGCACAAATTTCTATTTAAATGTTCTATAATCTATATTCCTAAACAATCTCCAAAAATACTCAATTTTTCAGAAGTTTAAATTTTACTTACATATCTAAGTTCCTTTAAAAAATCATTTCATCAACCCATAAAATATTGAGATTTCTAGTTTCCAAGTAGGAGAAACAGCATGTCATCTAAATGGGTAGACACTGTGCCATTTGCTGTTGCCACAATCCCATTTTATGAGTAGGTGTCCCACCAAAATTAAAAATGTATTATTCACAATCTCCAATATACTGCCAGAAAGTAAATGTAAAAGGTAAGTCCAGGCAAAGGCGAATATGAGGTGCCTTTACCTGCCAGAAAGCAGAAACAACTGTTCCTGTTATTCAGTTGGAGAATACAGTACATACAAGATACTTTGGTCACACTATTTTACGCGTTTATCCATCTCTATGGTTCAGAAAAGACTGCAACCCTGTACATGAACAGGCTTAAAAGAAGCTGAATAAAACTTGGTTATAGCACCTCGACTTCAATTAAAGGAGCTCAGGCTCTGCTTCTGGCGAACCTCCAATGAAAAAAGGCTCCAGAGCCAATAAGGAGGAAGATGGCAATTGGCGATTTTAATTTGCCCGATTCCTTTTGCAATGGGATTTCCTAGCACATCAGACGTACCTTAACCCTTCCAATCCTATAGGCGAAATGAGCAACCCTTGAATGAGGGTAATGTGGACGGTCGCTTACCGGTGACGTAAGCCCACAACAAAAACGTTTGAGTTATCGAGACGCCTCGGTTACAGTGAACCAGGGCAGAAGAGACGGTGTCGCGCGCTTATTACGTATTGCACTGTGGAATGTCCTAGCGTTTCGTCGCGCCGTGTTAACGTAAATAGTGGTCGCGTCCCTGTCGCCGTTTCTCCGGTAGGGGACAGGATCGCTAGGCGCGGTGAAGTACGGTTGCGTCATCACGCCTTTGGATGCGTCGTGGCCTTAGAGATAGGAAAAATAGAGTAACTCACAGTCTAAACTTCCGGTAAAAATCGAAAGCTGCCGTTGGTGATTCTTTGCCTTTCTCTTAGCTCTATGACCAATAGGTAAGTCAGAGGAAAAATTATGAAAAACTGACGGAAGTGTCAGTTGACATAGTGACATAATTCAGTATAGCGTATTAGAAACCTACTGTATTTCAAAGGAAATTGACTCGAAACCCTAAAGACACTTCCGGCTCCCCTTGGCATATGCGTGGGTCACCCAGTGCGAAGAGATGACGCAATAGGCAATGCCATAGAGACATAAGTTAGAACGGCACCCCAACTCTGGCCTAGGTTGGTGCCACGCATATGGCGGCACTTGGGCTGAAGCTGAACGCGAACTCTCTTCGTAACCTCTCCTTTTTCTCTATATCCGTTTTAATGCCCGGCAGAGCGAAGGCGCTCGTTGATGACGTCACAAGGGCGCCCGGTGCATGACGTTCTTTTTGTGAGCCTGAAAGAGGGAACGTGAGGAGTTCGTTTGTGCGGCGGCGGCGGAGTGGAAGAAAGGAAAAGAAGGTGAGGAGGGAGGGAGGGAGAGGTTAACTGGAGAGCAACCAAAAAGGAGCCCTGGCCTTTGGTTTCCTAAGGGGTAAAGAGAAGTGTAAGGTTTGGGGGCGGGCAGAGAGAGAGAGAGACGCTACAGTATTGCTGCAAACCTAACCCCGTTTGCCTAGGAGTAAGCACCATGGAAGTCAATAGGACTTCCTCCTACACAAACGCGGTGAGGATTGCGCTGTAGATTGAGGTTTCTCGGTAGTTGCAGAAAAGGTGGAGAAGGTTGAAGAGGTTTGTCAGTCTGTCTGTTTGTTTGCTTCACTTGTGCTACCTTTTCCCTAAGCAGTGGCGTAGCGTGGGTTGTCAGCACCCGGGGCAAGGCAAGTAATTTGCGCCCCCTAACCCGTGGATTTGCCCTAACCCCAGATGTTGCGCCCGGTGCGGCCGGCCCCCCCTGCACCCCCCACGCTACGCCACTGTCCCTAAGAAGCTCAGGGTCCCGTGAGAGAGGTCAAACTCAGTGATAACCACTATCCCCAAGTCGTCCAGTAACTTGGTTGCTTAGCAGAGATCTGAACCTTGGTCTCCCCAGTCACTACACTACAGTGGCTCTCGGATTAGATGGGTTTGGCCTATCCTGGTGGTGGTAGCAATAATAATAATAATAATAATAATAATAATAATAATAATAATACAACAACAACAACAACAACAATACGGTAGAAATAACAAAAGTAATACTCTCTTCCATACTCTTATCGGTTGGGAATACATTATGGCTCTTCCTTCTAGTTGGATCTTTTGCTGTTTGGGCAGTATCTTGTTTTTCATTTGTGTTCTGCATAGTCATGGAACACTTATATTTCTTCCATTGAGGACCCTTCTGGCACTTTTTATTGCTATACCTACACTGCCTCTTCTGTCTGTATCCTGTGTTTGAGAATGTATACTTTGTTAACAGATTATAAGCATTTCATTGTGATTTCATTTTTTAAAAATCTCTATAAGGCAAAAGGTGGGTGAGTTGGAAACTGAAGAGCTAACTCTAGGTCTCTTAAATTGAAGGGGGCTCCAATGGGGCACTTGTATTTGTGGAAAGGGAGAGATGTTTTTAGAGAGGGGGCTAAGGAAAGGACACATTTGAACTGAGGGGTACAGTGGATCTGGATCTTGTGTTGATGGGTGTCTAGCAACTGTGTGTGGCTCTCTGGGGGTTGCTGCTACCTCATAAGTGTTGTATTAGATCAGTGTGGTGGCCTCCAGCAGTCTGTTGGACCTCACCTGCCTTCAGCCCCAGCCAGCTTCGCTAATGGGTGGGAATGATTGGAGTCACAGTTTACAACCTTTGGAGGGCACTGTGTTGGCTACCCTTGGGTTAGATAGTGGTTAGAATTTCTCCTAGTCTAGTACTGTGGGAAATAACAAATCAATAAGACTCTGGATATTTATGTCACTTATTATGGTTTTCTCTTGTGTCCCTTCCTTTTTCTCCTTTGCAGCCTGATCCATCATGTCTTTGGCAGATGAGCTTTTGGCTGACCTCGAAGAGGCAGCAGAAGAGGAGGATGGCAGCTTTGCAGATGAAGAGGATGAGCCTCCCATTGAGGATGTCCAGGAGGAAATGCAAGTGGATCTGGCAACTGATTCAGTCAAGAGTATTGCCAAGCTCTGGGACAGTAAGACGGTGAGAGAAAATGAGCTTGGCTGCCGGGCCAATATGTATAGTAGCGATGGTTTTCAAAATAGTGTTCAACCTGGGGTCTACTGGTTCTATAAACTGCCTTTTCCTTTTTGGGTGTAGTCTGGGGAAGTTAACCCTTTAAAGGTGCCCTCTTCAAAAAGTAAGACTCAACTTTTTGTTTTTTCTCTTGTGCAGTTTGCTGAAATCTTGCTGAAGATTGAGGAATACATCAGCAAACAGCCCAAAGCATCTGAAGGTACTGTGAGTCTCTGGCTGAGATTTCCTTTGGATGTGTATGCACACATCACCCAGTCTGATTCCTGCAGTATAGAGTCTGCTACAGGACTTCCTTGTCCTGCAGTACAGCACTAATGTACCCATATGTCCATCTCCCTGTTACCTTATAGTGAGGTGCCCTGTATGGATTTTGACTTTGCATGTTCCTTTCTTACTAGTTCTAGGTCCAGTAGAGGCTGCTCCTGAATATAGAGTCATTGTGGATGCCAATAACCTCACAGTGGAGATTGAGAACGAGCTAAGTAAGTGCAAACCTTAGCCACTCACTTTGGGGTGAGGGAGGTTGAGAAGGCTTTGAAAACAATACAGCAGCTGCTACCCTGTGAGGGTGGCAGATGATGAGTTAGGGAAGTAGTGAGATTGGGAAAGGCTGGCTTCATTGGAGAAGGGGGTGCGATCTAGTAAATAGAAGGGCACATACTGGCCAGACAAACCTTCACAGGAGTTTTGGGATACAAAGGACATTTGTGTGTTGGTGTCACAGTAGAACAGGGACTGTTTTGATAAGAGCACTTTCTTTCTTGGGCAGGAGAAAAGGTTCAGGCTGGCCAATCTGAATAGGCTATACGGCTCAGCATTAAAATGTCTCTGAGCTAGTATATTCTGGGACGCCTGCTTTTATTCTCACTAGTGTAATGGCGCTCTCTGTTTCTGCCTGTTTTGTAAAAGGTCGTCTTTGCCTCTCTCTTTTCAGATATTATTCACAAGTTCATTCGAGACAAGTACTCCAAGCGGTTTCCCGAACTAGAATCCCTTGTTCCAAATGCACTGGACTACATCCGGACTGTCAAGGTATTGTGCCTGTCTGTGTCTTGAACTTCGCAAAGTCAATTCTTTACATTTGCATCGATGACTAGCCCAACCCTCGTATAACTTTTGCCACTTATTTAGCGGAGGTGCTCCATGCTCAAATGGCTATTAAGATTACAACTCAGATAAGACATACTGTAGTTTTCCATGTATAAGACACCCTTTTTTAATTCAAAAATTAAGTTAAAAATTGGGGGTCATCTTATACATGGATTATGCATAGGATGTGGGATTGAGTGCTGCCGTGAGCCGGAGATTGTCTGTCGGTATTTTGCGTGTTATTGGTGGCTGCGGCAATGGCTGATGTTGATTGGCTGCCACTGCAGCACTAGGGCGGGCTATTGGCAGCTTTTGCTAGCGTGGGGACAGACGATAGGTGTCTTTTACAACACATGTGAGTGGCAGCGTAGGTTATGCGGGTGAGCAATTTTCGACAATTCCCCCTAAAAAAAGCTCAACAACTCAGGGCAGTTTCCCCCCATTTTCTCAATTTTGCGTCCCTGAAAATAGGGGGTGTCTTATACACAGGGGCATGTTATACATGGAAAATCTTTTGAGTATTCTTCAGGTCCACAGTTAATTCATGGTTTTGATGTGTCATAATCAACCTTGAACCTAAAAGGTGTGGTGGGTAGAGCTAGCAGATGAGCTGTGTTCAAATATTTAATCTGCCGGGAAATTCACATGGTTGCTTTTGAGAAGTTGTTATTGCTCAGTCTTAAACTAGCTTCCAGGTTAGGAAAAATGAGGATTGTGTGTGTGGAGGGCTGGGGGAAGATCCCCAAATATTCCACCCTCGGAGGAAAAGAATATTCATGTGATCCACAAATTGTTCCTAGAATTGCTGACGGAAATTAGAACTGACCCTCGAGCAGCCTTGGTCCTTCTCAGTAATGAACAAAACCTGGCACTGAGACCAGAATTCTCTAAATAAGCTTGGGGCTTCAGTTAAACATGGTTACAGTGCCTCCCACCTGTGCTTTTTGGGGATGTGCTTTCTGTCTTCTTCAATGGCTAACTTCTGCTTTAAAACGTTTGAACCTTGCAGGAACTAGGGAACAGCTTGGACAAATGCAAGAACAATGAGAATCTTCAGCAGATCCTCACCAACGCTACAATCATGGTGGTCAGTGTCACCGCATCCACTACCCAGGGGTAAGGCTCTGCACAGGAAAAAGAGGAGGTTTTTGGAAGGGTATGGGAGATTGGTGGGCATCTGGACTGTGAGAGAGGGATATAGACTGAATTTGCAAATGGTGCTGAAGGGTGTAAGGTGGACTGTACCATTCCAGGCTGCAGGTGGGGGAATTAGTTTCCAAAATTCCCTGTAAGAAGAATACTCCTATGTTGAAGGGAGAGTGTCTAGCCTAGCTCTTTTCCCCTTGGTGTGCTAGTGCTTTTTCCTCCCTTTACAGATTTCTCTTGATATATAGGGGAGCATTGAAAAATAATATCTTATCTCTGGCAGTAGGGAGTACTACAGTCTACTGTACCACTTGTTCCACTGTCTATAGAGCAGGCCCAGAATCATGGCAGTTTTCCCTTTATGGGATTTTAGCACAGAGAATAGATTTCAGATGAGAGAGTGGCTTTTAGGTCACTGCTTGGTTGTCAAGAGAGTGGCCTTCAGACACTTACGGTCTGTCTTATCACGTGTAGAGACAGGAGGCACCTGCCAGATCACATGATAAATGGTATGAGTTAACTTATTGATCAAAATACGCAAGGGGGACCTGCAGCAAAACATTGCAGTTCGAATTGCTCCCATTCAGGTTTCCAGACATCTGTTCCCCGTCCTCAACTGTTAGCCAGCATTCCATGACCACTGAGCATGCTCAGTCTTTATAGGGCTGGTTTTGGGGCTCCCCTGCCTTTGGGCTTTCCAACATATTTGCTATATGACTGCAAGCTGTGGGGCTCTCAACATCTACAGATATCTCCCATTTTGTGTATGTGGATGGTGCCATTTTTGTCTATG